CCCCGTGCTGGTATAGGGAGCAAGGGGTGGCTCTGATCCTGGAGACAGCTCTGCCCGAGTTGACACGAGGCAAGGCCGTTCCCTCCCTCCTTTGTGTGGTGGGTGACGGGCACTGCCCTACCCATGCTGAGCCTGCCAGCTATTTATTAGCCGTCTTGTGTTTTGTTCCTTAATGAAGAAATCAGGTATCCGTATGCAGGGTGCTTCCAGGTTACCGAACAGCACCGTCTACGTAGTGGAACCCGGATACCTGGGTGAGTGTGGGCATCCTGGGTCCTGGATGTTGCTCTTTTTTGATTACAGGAGTTAGAAAAATAAAAGTAACAGCTCCTCAGAGAATGCTTCACTCTGGACGGCTCTACCAGCTGGGAGGCTGGGGCCATCTTCGCCCACTTGCCCTTGCCAGGGCTGCTGCCTCCAGTCCGAACCCAGAAACTATCAGAGGCCAGACAGAGCCAGGCAGGTGGCCAGCTTGTCAGGGAGAGAAATGGGGTAGGGTAGAGTGGGGAAGGGTTTTTATACCAGGGCTCTGTCCGCAGCTGACCACATCCATGGACGTTTGGAGGTTGGGGCCTACTCGGTTAGAGGGGCCCCTGAGGTAACATGACAGTTGGGAGATGTCTCCTTGGGGAGGTAGGGGAGGCTTTTGTCTGAGAGAGGAGGGGAGGCACCCACAGCCACGGAGGACTTAGAGGGGTACAGCCAGTGCCCAGGAGCTGCCACAACAGATGACCACCTGAGAGGTGTCCGGACACACTCCGGGTCACCAGCTCAGCGCTTCTGATCTGAGCTTGCTCACCAGTTGAGTGCACTGGTGTGGTTCAGGGAAGAGAACATTGGGTGTGCAGCAGCCCCCAAGGTCAGATTGCTGTGTGGTGCAGACCCCTGTGGACGATGTGGTCACACCAGGCAGGATGGCCCTGCGTGCCTGAGAAGCTCCACTTAGAAATGCTCCCTTGGTACCTCCCGGCTCTGGTCTGTGCTGGGCACTGGCGTTCCAGGAGAAGGAAGACAGGATCCTTGGTGCTTGGTTTTGTGGGGAGAGACCAGCACCTCCGGCGGTGACCAGACAGTGGGAAGGTTAGTACATGTGAATGCAGAGAGGGGCCCAGAGATGCCAATCGAGGCAGGCCTTTCCTAGGCAGCTGCTCTTTCGCTGGTGGCCCAGGGAACAGCTTGGATAATGGTGTGGACATGAGAGAGCATATGAGGGGGCATCAGGCAGGCAAGAGGCCTGGAGCCAGTGCAGGCTCACACAGGGAGCATGCTCAGTGCCAGGCCTCACACATACACCTACTGTGCATTCAGAATGTAGACACAATGTGGGTTCAGAGTGTAGCCCTAGGGTAGACTCAGGTCGCAGGCCCACTGTGGACTCAGGGCCCAGACCCATTGTGGTTCATAGGGTAGACCCTTGTGGATTCAGAATGCAGACCTACTGTGGATTCAGAACATAGACCTACCCTGGATCAAAGCATAGACCCACTTTGGAATCCGAGTGTAGACTCACGGACTCAGAGCGGCCCACTGTACTAGAGTGTACTAGAGTGTATACCAGTGTGGATTTTGAGCCCAGACCTGTGATGGACAGGATCCCGTTTGAGCCTTGAGCAGTCAATGTGGGATTGCCCTGGGGAATCTTAGAGATCAGCTCAGGTTTTTAGGGCTCAGTGCAGATGGCCTGCTTCAGATCTCACAGTCATGAACAGCTGGTCTTTTTCCTCAGAGGAATACAGGTGAGCAGTTGTGGGCTGTCTAGATGAGCAATTATGAGGCCCTTGTGGTGAGCAGTTATAGGTCTCTCCAGGTGAGTGGTCTGAGCCCTTCCAGGTGATTTTGGGGCCCTCTAGGTGAGTAGTTGTCGGTCTTCCAGGTGAGTGGTTATAGGTACCTTTAAGTTGAGCAGCTGTATGTCTCTTCTGATAAGTGGTCTGGGGCCCTTCCAGGTAGGTGATTGCGGGGCCTCCAGGTAAGCAGTGTGGGCCCTTGTGCTAATGGTGCTTGGTCCTATCTTGTATGCCCCTGTGACCTGACGTCAGGGGCTGCCCCTTGCCTTCCTACAGGGTTCACAGTCCACCCTGGTGACAGGTGGGTGCTTGAGACTGGACGCCTGTATGAAATTACTATTGATGTGCTTGACAAGTCTGGCAACAAGGTCTACCCCTCTGATGTGAGTGCCTTCCTAGGGTCTTGGGGGGTGGAGAGATGGGATGTGACTCCTGGAATAGCTGTTCAGTAAGCTGCCCCCAAAGGAACTGGGGTCCCCATGCAGGCAAACCAAGTCCAGAGCCTTCCTAGTGGTGCTGCTGAGTCCATGAGAGAAACTGTTGTGGGATCCCTGGGGCATCTTGAACCAGTGCACCTGTGCATCTGCACCCCACAGGCCTGCTCCCTCCAGGGCTGGGGGTGGGAGAGGAGGCTGCAGCGTCTGGGGGCGGTGATGGCAAAGTGATGTCTGCTAGCTGGAAATAGCTGTAAGGGTTTCCATGTCCTTGACTGTATTTGGTTTCCTGGTTGGGACCTTAGGGCCTATGAAAGCTGACTAGACTTCCAGCCCCCGTGAGCCCCACATGGGTAACTACAGCAGGAGCACCGGCTCATTGGGTCATGCGGCGAGGGGAGCCTGGGAGGGGTCAAAGGCCAGAGCAGGCTTTGTCCAGCCTGTATGCTGGCTTTTGAAGGCCTGTGAGCCTTGGCAGCCCCTCGGCCCTGCCTGACTGCTGCTTTGGGCCAAGTGGCTTCTCTCCTGCACCTTGACTTTCCTGCTCTCTGAGAAGTGCCCTCACCCATCCTGCCTCACCTTCCAGAACATCCGCATCGAGACTCTGCTTCCCTCCGAGTTCTTTGAGGTGCTCTCTTCTTCCCAGAATGGGTCGGCCCATCACGTCAGGGCAAGAAAGGGAGGTCAAACGGCTATCAAGGCAGCCCTCACGTCGGTGGTGGACCAGGCAAGTGGGCACCTCCCTCATCCACCTCCTGGGCCCCCGGTTCACCCAGGCTGGGTGTGAGCCCAGGGATCAGGGCCCAAGCTTGGCCTGCGTGTTTCTCAGGTGCAGTGAGGGCCCCTCTCTTGGGCTGAGGGATGACTGGGGGAAGTGTGGCTTTGGTCTCTTCCTGTCACCTGTGCCCACACCAGGCCAGAGCCCCTCTTCCTCTGCCAGCCCCTGAAAAAGTGAGCCTGCACCTTTGGGTGACGTCTGGAACTCTTGTTGAGGGGCAGTGTCGGGCTCCCTGTGTCCAGGTGTGCACCAGCCAGGAGCCACCAGCATCCCTTTGGCTGTTTTTGCTATGAGTCTTTCACAGTCGTCTTTTTTTTTTAAGTTTTTACACATACACACACACACACATATATATATGTGTGTATGTATATATATGTATATATTAATTTCTTGTTGAAAGTATTACAGATGTTCCCCTTGTTTCCCCATTGACCCCTCTACCCTGCACTTGCCCCCCACCCCGGCCGTCCCCACACTATTGTCTGTGTCCCTGGGTTATGCATATATGCATATAAGTTCTTAGGTTAGTCTCTCCCCACCCACCCCTCCTTTCAGAATCTTTTCATTTCTCCCTGTAAAAGGGCAGCCAGTGTTAGGTGGGGGCAGCTCCTCACTGGGTGGAACAGTGGCATGTCCTCATCTGCCTGCCCTGCGCCACGTGCAAGAGGCAGCAGAGAGAAGTGGCCTGTGGACCGCATGCTGTTCCCAGCAAGCCTGCGCTTCCGCTCTGGGGCTTTGGGCGAGGTGCTTTAGCATACCACCTCAGTTTTCCTACCGTAAAGTGGGGATACCCACATCCGTCCTGTCGGGGTCCCCGGGGATGAAGTCAGGCAGCATTTACTACAGTGGCCATCACAGAGCCACACAGAGCTGTCTCCGTGGAGATGGAGAGGCTCCAGGTTATCTGGCATCTTCCTACACGCTCCCCCGCAATCACATCTACCTTTGTGACTGATCCCCAGGGAGGGGCAGGGGTCTGCTTGACTGGGAAAGCTGCTGAGAGCCTGGTTGTCATGGTGATGTGGGCACCCTCACCCCTTGTAGGATGGAGGGGTCCACATGTTACCAGTACCTGTGCGGAGCCAGCAGGAGGTGGAAATTCACGTCCCCATCACCCTCTATCCCAGCCTCTTGACATTTCCGTGGCAACCAAAGACAGGCGCCTATCAGTACACGATCAAGGTAAGTGGGAGCCCCCACGCCTGGCTGCACGCCTGTGGGTGTTTCCATGGGATTGGGCTTTTGGCCATTCTGTTTTTTCTAATATTATCTTCTAGGGGCTGGAGAGGATTTAAAATCAGAGAGTATGCTTTCTAATTTTCTGAGGTTTCTATCACAGCCATGTATTTTGATAATCAGAAAAAATCCCTGAAAAACAGAAAATAAAGCAAAATAAAGAAAATGTGGAATGCAGATGTAACTTCTATATGCATTTGTTTTTTTTGTTTTCGTGTTTTAAAATTTATTGCTTTCAGAGAGAGAAAAAGGGACGGAGGAAGGGAAGCAGAGAGAGAGACATGGATTTCTTGTTCCACTTACTTATGCATTCATCAGTTAATTCTTGTATGTACTCTGACCCGGGATCAAACCTGCAACGTTGTTGTGTTGAGACAATGCTCTAACCAACTGAGCTACCTGGCCAGGGCCACATGCATTTGTTTTTGTAAAAAATTGTTTTCCCAAAGCAGTGTAAACCTTCTTAGAGAGAAAAATTGAAATTCAAGGGAAAATGTCTCCAACCCCCAACCCTGCCACTTACAAGTGTTCTTGGGCATTTGTCAGCATGGACTGGCTCCTCCGGGGCTTGAGCCCTTGTGGCAGCACAGTTCCTGTCAGTCGTGTTTCCCTGGTGGTGATGACAGGTGTCCTGTCTGTGCACAGGTACCCACTGCCAGGTGGGTCACCTTCCTGGCCCCTCTTGGGTTCTGGGGTGGTGGCCCTGCTTTTAGAAGCTGCCGGATTGTCGTTTACTTCATGGCAGGGGACTAGGAGTGGGCAGGGGTGTGCCAGGAGGGAGCGTGTGTCTGGTCAGGGGCAGCATCCTGCACCTGGCTCCATGGCCTAGAGTCTTTCCATTCCAGCCTGAGCTCTGGGAGGTTCTGGGGCCACTGTCATGGACTTGTGTGCATGTGTGTGTGTATGTGAGCCACAGGGTTCCGAGACTGTGTGGACCAGACCGAGGAAGAGGGGAGAGCGAGGGTGGAGGCCGCCTCCAGTCAGGCGTGGGCTTGATGCCGTGGTTTTCCTTGCATTGGGGGACGCCGACCTGTGTGTGTGGGAAGATGAGTGTGACTAGATATAAGAGCGAGTGAATGTGAGTGGGTGTGTGTGAGGCAGAGAGAGACCAGCAGGGGGGCTGATTGGATGATCTCCCCCCTAGGCCCACGGCGGGAGTGGGAACTTCACTTGGTCTTCGTCAAGCTCCATGGTTGCCACAGTCACCGTCAAGGGCGTGATGACCACAGGCAGTGACGCAGGACTCAGTGTGATCCAGGCGCAGGATGTTCGGAACCCACTCCATTTCGGGGAGATGAAGGTGAGACCTCAGGGGCCCGCACAGCCCTGGGGTGGTGTCCAGCCCTCAGGCTTGAGAACCACCCTCCAGCGCTTGGTCTTAGTGTTGGCAGCAGGTGGGGTGGTGGTGGGCCAGGCCCCTGCCCTACCTCGGGAAGTCACAGCTGCATCAGGAGATGGAGCCGAACCCACACCAGGTGGGGGATGGGGCCAGGAGGGCCAGGGTCAGCATAGCAGGAGCTTCTGGAGTGGAGACCAAAGAACACAGAAGACGTGAGATAATCGAACAAGTCACTCTAGAAAACTCACCAGACTTAAGATACGACTTTCCAAATTGGAAGGGTCACTGAGTGTTGTAAGTTCACAGGGAAGGGAAGGCCCAAGACTCCATGACACCCGGCCCTGGCCCCTTCCTGGCTCTACACCTGGCTCCACACCTGGCTTTTGACCCCAAGTGATGTGGGATCAATTCAGCAAAGGCCACAGGTGGGAGTGGTCGTCTGCAGCGGAGCCTGGTGGCCTGACCACACCTCCTTCCTTTCTGCCTGACCCTGACCTCACCCCCTTTTATTACATCATTTAGGCAGAAATCGAAGGTCCATGGTTAGGGTTGGACTGCCTGGGTCAGATACCACTACAGTCCAGCTCAGACAGGCTCTCTTACCTCCTGGGCCACTAGGCTCCAGCACAAACAGCCTCTCACCTCTCAGGCCACCAGGCTCCAGCACAAACAGCCTTTCACCTCTCAGGCCACCAGGCTCCAGCACAAACAGGCACTCTTGCCTCTCAGGCCAGTGTCTTCCTCAAGTCATGAGGTTGGTAATAGAACCTTCTTAGCAAGGGGTCTGAGAGGAATCAGTGAGTTAGCCTATTCTCACTGAACCTGGAGTCTGCTAAGTTTTGCCAAGTTTTGTTTGTACAAGTACTCACTTATTGATGATGGCTCTCTCTCACCCTCTACACTGTCTTCTTTACATTTCTCCAGCATGCTGAGCTCTCTTCCCAGAATGTCTTTCCTCTAGACTTTTGTCTGGTTTCCTCTGATATGGCTCTCAGATCTAACCTCCTGCATCACCTCAGAGAGGTCTTCCCTGACAGCTCTATCCCTGAACGCCACCCCAGTGCTCAGCACACAATCCTTTGAGTAAATCCCAGCAACAGGCCCTGCCTCTCCCTTGGAGCCTGATGACCCTGGTCCATGCCTTGTCTTCCAGGTGTATGTGATCGAGCCCAGAGGCATGGAGTTCGCCCCATGCCAAGTGGAGGCACGCGTGGGCCAGACTCTGGAGCTGCCCCTAAGGATCAATGGCCTGATGCCTGGCGGGGCCAGTGAGGTGGTTACCCTTAACGACTGCTCCCACTTCGACTTGGAGGTCGAGGTGGAGAACCAGGGCGTGTTCCAGCCGCTTCCAGGTAAACTAGCACTGATGAGCGAGCACCAGATAGCAGCGGGACTGACACCTAGTGTTCAACATGGGCTGCCTCAGGCTCCTAAATAGGGGGCTCGAGGCAGCAGGGGTCACAGGAAATGGCATTTGTCTTGTCCTCCATCAGCAGTGGTGTTGTTTGGACCTTACATGCCACGTGACCTGTCATGTCACTGTGCTCTCTCAGCTTCAGTTTCCACATCTCTCAAATGGGTGTCATCCTAAACAGAATTGCGTCACTGTGCCCGCTTCAGTGCCTGGAGTGCATCAGTGCTCAGAATGCACTGTTAATAGGGGATCTGGTCAGTGACAGAATCGTGATACCTTTGAGACTTGTCAGGCCCAGCCCTCCAGAGCCATCCTAGCCGCGCACAGGATCCTTTCCTCTTTAGCACCCCCTGCAGGGTTTGGGTGGTGATGTCAGTGGCACTGGGGGCAGTGGAAGTTGGTGTATAGAGTGCCAACCTTGCCCGGCACAGGGTAAGTAAGCGCCTTGTGTGTGTGTGACCTCCTGAGACTTCACAACCATTGTGGGAGGAGGAACTGTGGTCGGGTCATGTGTCCGATAAAGACTGAGGCTGCGTAGCCATCCAGGGTCACACAGGGGCACAGGGCATGATGGTGTACAGATCAGAGTATGTCTGGGATGCTGATCTGAAGCCTCAGTCCTCCGAAAAATGGGGCCTCCCAGGGAAGTTGGCTCAGGGGCAGTCAAGGGCTTCCTCTCCAGTTTGCAGATGAAGAAAAGCAAGGACTGCTGAGCCATTGAGGGAAGAGTGAGGTCTGGGCAGAGGGTAGAAGTAACAGGGAAACAGGAACAGTGTTCAGTGGGTGGGCTCCTGAGCCTGGGCCATGAGGTGGGCTATCTGGGGACACGGGCTCACACAATGGACCTGGAATGGCTGAACCTGTTGAATCCTGAATTGTGAAGGGCACTGGAGGGCTTGGACCCTAAACCTCAGTGTCCAGGCAGTGGGAAGCCCCTCATGGTTTGTGAGCAGAGGAGTGATGCGTGATCCTGGCAGGTTTAGGAAGTGGAATTGGCAGAGATATTTGTAGGAGGGCCTGAGGTGCTGAGCAGCTTCCATGTGACCGCTGCAGTTGTGGTTATTCTTGGAGCCGTGTCACGAGGAGCTGTGCAGAGGAAGGGGGCCATGTCTCTGAGACACCACTGAGCAGACATGCTATGTCCTTCTCTGGAGGGGCTGCTGTGTCTTCTCTGACCATCCAGGAGAATCTAGTTATGTGAGATCTTAAGTGTCCTCAGTGAGGCAACAGTTTAGGATGGAGGAAGACATTATGCATGGGAGAGAGTCCCACTGACGGCAGGAGAGGAACCTACTTCCCCAGCACTGCCCCCACAGGTGTCCTGGTAGGGAGTTTGCAGGCTCAGCCCAGGCACCAGGTCAGCATCCAAGAGGTCCCAGGAATAAAGGACAGGCATTGGAATTCCACACTCCTGGGTCTGAGTACCCCTTCAACATATTGGCTGTGTGATGTTAGGCAAGTTGCCCAACCTCTCAGAGCCTTGGGTTCTTCATGTATAAAGTGGGGACACTGGCCCCTTGCCTGCTGTGAGGGTTACAAACGAATGTCCCTCAACCCAGGGCTGGGGTTTGTTCATGAAGAATGCAGCTGAGACAAATCCTGTGGCATCAGAATTTCCCTTAGAAAGCTCCTTAAGTGTCTGTCCCCCAATGTAGAGCATATGTGGCTTTGTGAAGGTTTGTGGTAGGGCCCAGGTTATATGAAAAGTCCTAGTCAGGGTAGAGAGACAGGCATCGTGGAAATCCATGGGACTCTAGAGCAGATGGGGTCAGTAGACTGAGTGACACCTGCCCCAGGCCACAGGAGGCTCATGGGATAGAAACGTGAGGGCAGCTGTGATCCCAGTTAGGCTGACGGGCTGCTGCTATATCTCTGTCTCCCTCTAAGTGCACATCTGTCGTCTTCACCAAGTGAGGAGCACACATGATGGTTCTTGGAAAGGGGCTACACCAGGTCCTCTGGGCAGCTGCGGTCCAGGCACCACCCCTGCCAGCACCTTTTGGGTCAGTTTGGGGCCTCACCCTCTTCCTACTGGACTTGGCCACTGGAATCCCATTTCTGCGTTGTCCTCATTGTTGAAGCCCCTTAAAATCCCCTTGAGTTGTGGGCATACTGTGAACTTCTCCATGGAGCCCTCAGGATCCGGCTTGGCCAGGCTCACCCCTGGGAGTGGCTGTGCCTCAGACCTTGTTCCACCCTCGCCCTTTCTCCATGCTCAGCCCAGGCTGATCTTCAGCCCCCTCAACCCCCGTTCACTGAGCTCCTCCTAAGTGCTGTGCCCTGGGGGTCCCCCAGTAAACAGAGGTGTAGTCTCACCTTCACAGCCCTTACCATCTGGTAAGACAGGAGGCTCCACAGGCAGGGGTGGTGCTGGGACTGTGCCTGTGGGGAGCACGAGTCCTGGGAGCTGTTTCAGTCCTGGGTGTGAACCCACCGAAATGCCCAAACATGTTCCCCAGAAGAAATGTGCTGAAGACAGTGCCTCTGCCAGTTTGGAGGTGTGGGGTGGCTGTTCAGAGGAGGTAGTAACTGAAGGATGGGACTGGGAGGAAACGGGGAAGAGTATTTGGAGGAGCAGGAAGAATGTGTCTGCCTAGTGACCCGCAAGGACGTGGTGCGCCTCAGCTCCTGCTGGGTGGGCGCCAGTGGGCCTCCAGTTTCCAGGGCAGGGCCTGTGGAGCCAGAGTGTGCCCCCCAGGGCTCCGTTCTTCAGCATCTCTTCCCACCTGTACAAAGGGCCCACCTCCCTTCTTGTAATCCAGGGTCGTGTCCAGATAAGCATTTGTACGGGCTCCCTGTTCCTGACAGGACGACGGCAGGGTCCATCACCCGTCATTTCCCTGTTCCTTTTGTCTGTAATTCTGGACACACATGGCCTGTTGGGCAGCTTCCATGTTTAGGAGCACCTGGGCTTTGCCTGTGGCTCTGGCTTACCCTTGGCCACATGGGGCCTTCTACCCGGGGACCGGCAGTGGCCTTGGTGAAATGGCATGCATTGCAGTGTGTCCTAAGAGCGCGGAGGAGGTTGTTTTCAGATGTCCACAGCAGCTCTGACTAATCGCCCCAAACTGGAAACAACCCAAATTACCCATGAACTGGTGAATGGACAAGCAAATTGTGGGACACCCTGACACTGGGACTTCTCAGCAATGCAAAGGAAGCAGCCATAGACCATGCAGCAGCCTGGCTGAGTTTCAGAAATACGCTGTGTAGACCAGCCAGATGTGAAGAGCACAGTTTGTCCATGTGCAGTGTGAGGAAACTGGTCCCTGCTGGGACTGAGTGCAGAGCAGTGGCTGCCAGGGACCAGGGCTGGGGAAGGAGGGGCAGCTTATGGGTGTGGGTTTTCTTGTTGGGGGTGAAATGTTCTAAAATTAGTGGCAGTAGTTGCACAACTCGAAATGTGTTCAAACCACCAAATTGCATGTGCATTTTAAATGGGTGATTCTGCATTATGTGAGTTGTATTTCAGTAAAACTAAACTACAGTGGGGAAATCAGAATGGTATAGAGATGTCCTCCAGCGGAGGAGTGGCTGGGGATTGCCCGGGAAACCTCGTGAGGGGCCTGGGGTGGGAGGTGGGGGTTGCTGTTCTGCACCCTGGTGGGTTGGGGTTTCCCAGCAGCCAGAACTCATGGCATGGTCTGTGCATCTCACTGTGTGTAGATTTGACCTTAAGAAAAACAGCCATAAAGAAGTATTGAGCTGTAGATAATTATGTATTTAGAATGAAGTGTTCTGACACTTGCAACTTACTTTTAAGTGCATAAAATATAATATCAATTGGTAGATGGCTGGGGGATGGATAGATACGAGAAATAAAGCAAACTGGTCATTGTAATTGTAGCATCTGGGGGTGGGAATGTGGAGTTTCACAACATACCTTTTTCTAAATGTCTGGAAAGAAAACAAAATTCTGCTGCACTCCCACTAGAATGGCCTTTTAAAAAAAGGGTGGAAATTACCAAGTATTGGCAGGGATGTAGCATAGCCATTAGAAAGAGTATAACTTGTTGTGACCATTTTGGGAAAGATACTAGGCAGTTGAGAGCAGAACATACGCATACCCCTAGGCAGTTGGGACTAGGGGTACACACAGCGCTCTTAGGGGACATCCAACGGAGAGGCCGAAATCTGTCCACCAGAAGCGGGCACCGAAAGAAATGTTCTCAGCAGCACCGGGCACCATTGCCCTGTGCTGGGAACAGCCCTGGTGTTTGCATGGCATGGAGGACTCGGTGGCAGACACTTCACACAGCAGAATAACATATACAGATGTGGATAAAAGATCTACAACATGCAAAACATAATGAGGGATCTCACCATTAACACCGAGTTGAAGAGGGCAGACACAAAGGAGTGTAAAAGCGACTCCCTTCATATAAAATATAGAAGCTGGCAAACAAGGCAGAACAGTGCTGCTCCTTTGGGGGGGAGCCAGTGACCGGAAAGGTCTGTGGGAAATTCCAAGGTACAGGTCCTGGGTACAGGGTGTGCTCAGTTTATGGGGGAAAATCATAGTGAACTGTGTGTTTCTGACAAGCGTACCTCGTATGGGAATTATGATTTTACGATAGAAAATTAGGCTGTGTGTCTAGCCCAGGATGAGGGACTGTCCTCCCGCCGTGTGGCCAGCGAGGTGTGTTCACGGTGACTGTCTGCTTGTCTTCCTGCAGGGAGGCTGCAGCCGGGGGCTGAGCACTGCGGTGGCGTCAGGGTGAGAGCCCAGGCCCAGGGGCACACTGCGCTCCTGGTGAGCTACAAACATGGCCACATCCACCTGAGTGCCCAGATCACCATCGCCGCCTACCTGCCCCTCAAGGTGAGCCCGGGACTCCTGCTCTCCACTGCTTCCCTGATGGGAATTATTCATTTGTTCTGGTGAATTTGTGTTAAAACCCTGATTATTCAGAATAGCTTTTAGAACAGTGATTTCTTTCTGTGATTTTCGAGCTGACATTAGGAAGCATGTAGAAGGAGCAGAGCCTCCCTGGTGGTGGATGGTGACTGCTGATACCCATCGGATGAAATGGTACCCTCTCTGGGCCTCCAGAGATTAAGACTGAGGGGCCGATCCTGGTGAACTCCAGAGTTACCCTGCAGGGTCTCCACAGAACCCTAGAATGGGGACAGCGGCCCTGGCTTGTGGGTGCAATTCTGGGGCCTCAGGAACCTGGCACAGGTTTGGATTCTCTCCCTGCCTGATGTCAGGTGACCATCAAGCATCTGAGTCCCAGGGAAGCAGTCACAGCACTTGAGGTCACAGCACACTGCTTCAGGTTTGACACCAGCTCTGAGTTTGAACTCACCAACTCTGTGAGTCTGGCTAATTTAATTTCTCTGGGCCTCAGTTTCTCTGCCTGTAAAATGGGGCTAATATAGTACCTGCTTCATAGGGTTGTGGTGAGAATTTGCTGAGGGATGAGCAAAGTGGGCTTAAAACAGTGCCTGGGAGGTAGTGAGGGGTGAGTGAGTGTTAGTTGTTAAAATACGAATAAAAGAGAACTGGACCTTCCTCCAAGGATAGTTGTGCAGGTTTCACACAATAGCTGCCTCACAGAAGGATCGTGAACATGATCATGTCTTACTTTGAACTGTGCTGCTCACATGGGAGACCTGGAGAGGGTAAGGTGGCTCCTCCGTTAGGGGAGGGCTGAAGGCGTGGCCTGCGCGGCCTGCCCCCAGCCTCCCTGCTGGGCCAGCCAGTGCCTGCATTTCCCTGACACTCAGTGGCAGCCTCTGGGACAGCTCTGGTCCCCTTGGCATGTGATTGTCACCCATTAAAGAAAGCTCAGTAACATTAGCATACTTCATCTCAGAGCCCTGGCCCTGGGCACAGTGTCTGATACAGAGAGACCACAACCAAAGGTGTTTTTTAAAATTGAGGTATAATTGACATGTAACAGGGTGTTAGTTTCAGGTATACAACATAGTGATTCAGTGTTTGTATGTATTGGGAAATGATCACCACAATAAGTCTAGTTGCCATCTGTCACCCCCCATAGTTAAAATTGTTTTTGTGATGAGAGCTTTTAAGCTCAACTCTTAGCAGTTCAAAACGTGCAGTACAGTATTGTTACCCACCATCACCATGCTGTACGTCCTGTCCCCAGAGCTAATGCTCACTGACTTGGTGCTGGAAGTTGGTACCTTTAGACTCCCTTTACCATTCCTCCTCCAACCCTCCCCCAACCTTGCAGTTATCAGCCTGTGTTCTGTACCAGCTCTGTGAGCACTGCCTTAGGGACCCACACGGCCCCTCCCGGGGACTGCAGACTGTTGCCTATGATTTGCTGCAGGAAACAACCGTGTGTGAACATCTCTGCGGGAATGTGTGTCTGTCCTTCCTGGTGTGTCTGTAGGTTAGATTCCAGATGGGAAGTGCCTGTGTCAAGGGCAGTGGGTATTTTTAAGGCTTTTACTGGATTGTTGTACAAAAGAAGCAGATCAGTTCCTGCCTTCTTCCTCCCAGCGGTATGTCAGGGGGACAGAGTTCTCCCCACGGCACTTTTGCACCAACCCCGGGCATGTTGCTGATGAGCACAGGAGCTGCAGCTGTGTGGCCTCCGCAGGGGGCAGGGCCTGGCTCCCGCGTGTGCCTCCCAGAAGGGCTGACACTCTTCTCCTTTCCTCCCCACAGGCTGTGGACCCTTCCTCTGTTGCCTTGGTGACCCTCGGCTCCTCACTGAAGATGCTGTTCGAAGGAGGTCCCAGACCCTGGGTCCTTGAGCCATCCAAGTTCTCCCGAAACGTCACCTCCGAGGACACGCACAGCATCAGTCTGGCTCTCTTTGGGCCCCCTGCTTCCCGTAATTATCAGCAACACTGGGTCTTCGTGACCTGCCAGGCCTTGGGCGAACAGGTGAGAGGACAGCCACCCCCAGACCCACTTTGCCCAGAGGGAGGGTTGTAAGTCACGTCCCTTCAGTACCTGCTGTCCTCACAGCGTCGTTTTATTTAATCTTCAAAGTAGCCCCGAGAGAGGCTGCAGCTGCTGCGCCATCTCCCAGGCGGGAGGCGGGGCTGCAAGGCGAATGCTCAGTGCACGTGAGCAGAGCTGCAAGGTGAGCAGGGGGACCCTCCCGTCAGTGCTGCTCTGATGGAGCTAGTGAGTCCTGGCTCCCTTTCAACAACCTGGTGACCCCACCGCCAGGTCAGGGTGAGCGAGACCAGGGACAGTCAGATGCCTCTAGGGGCAGCAGATCTTGTAAAGAGGGAAGTCACAGGGCCATGCTTGGTAGGTCTTTTTGGTGTTTCAGGATAATCTGTGAACCCTAATATTTCTTTCTGTGAAATCTCTTTTCTTAATGCTGAAAACCAGGAAATTAGGAGACTGGTAGACTGAGCAAAACGTGTCTGTGACCGAATCCCTTAGGGCTGGAATCTCCTGGATCGAGGGCAGCTTGCTGTTCAGCCCCTCGCCTCAGGGCCCTGCACTGAATTGGCTCACAGACAGTGGGGCTGTGCCCTAGAGCGGGAAACAGAGAGCAAGGTGGAGGCCGGCTGAGTCATGGAAGAAAGGGCAGAGCGCATTTCTTTGGGGAAGTGAAGAATACCCTTGCACGTTTGATAGTGCACACACATGCACACACGCCACCCAAGGCACCCTTGTGAAGTCAGCCACTGAGACTGCCTGGGTGTGAGCAGAAAGCATGCATAGTGATCCACAAAGAATAAGAAAAATAAATACATAATAAATAGTACCAGGGTAGAATAAATTTAGCCAAGAAGTACGTTAGAGATGTTTCTTACCCCTGGCTTAGCGTGGTCGCCCGTTTTCCTCCCAGGCTGTTGGAGGTGGACCCCTCAAAACCCCCCTACTCCATTGGTCTATGTATTACTTCCTGGGGTGTCAGGCTGGAGGCAGAAACCCTGCAGGTCAGCATGGAAACTGCCCTTTGCCCTGCCTCAAGGTCAGGAAGGGTGAGGGGCTCTGGACCAGGCCATTCCTTCCTGCGGAAAGTGTGTGTCCCTGAGGGGCCAGGACTCCCTTCCCTGCCCACCCCTCGCAGGCCCCAGTCCATAGCACTCCCTCCCTCACACCTGCACCTCATCCTGACAAAGGCATTTAAAGGGAATTTGCTCCTGTGGCCTGGGGCTTTCATGCGGTGCTGGAAAGCCACAGGGTGTTCCCATCACCTCTTTCTGCCAAGAGCAGGCAGTGGTTCCGGCTGACCTCTAGAGGGCACCAGGGCTCCCATCTCCCATGCACAGGTCATCGGACCTTTGTAAGCCCCCCGCCCCCCATGTGGATGTCATCATCATTCCCATTCTGCAGAAAAGCACACTGAGTCCATGGAGCTGGGTGACGAGACGAGGGCACAGTGAGCTGGTCCTCACGCTGGTCCTGACTGCTTCTGCCCCCCAGGTCATTGCCCTCTCTGTGGGGAACAAGCCAAGTGTCACCAACCCCTTCCCTGCGCTGGAGCCTGCCGTGGTGAAGTTGGTGTGTGCCCCCCCCTCCAGGATCGCCCTGACGCCCGTCTACGCCAGCCCCCAGCTGGGCTTGTCCTGCCCACTGCTGCAGCAAAACACACCGGTGGTGAGTGGCACTGCTGGGCGGTGCGGCCGCGGGGCATCGGCCAGCCCTGCGCGGTGGGCACTCTGTCTGACTGTACGTGCAGGGGTCCCAAGACCTGGAGAAGTAACAAGACTCAGCAGTCCCGGCAGCTAGAGGCGGTGCCAGGTGCCAGTAGAACCTCTGGCCCCAGATGCAGCTGCTTCTCTCTGCAGGGCATTTGGCAGTTTGTAAGAATCTTTTTTTCGTGACTGGAGCGTGTTAAGGTGGGCCTGTGTTGGTGGCCGTGCGTGTGTGGTCAGAGCGAGGGCTGAGAGGACAGGTGCCCGGCCGGTGTGTTCTCCAGGGACTGCGTTTCGGACGTAATGTGGGCAGAGGGTAGCATGTCACTTGGGGTCACTCAACAGCAGGGCCAATGCTGGCCTCGCCCGTCTCAGAGGCGGAGACTAGGCTTCTTTTCACTTGGCCCTTGATAGCTGCCGGCTGAGCAGCTCCTCTGGGCCAGGCGCAGCTCCGGGTCCTGGAATGCGGGCAGCCGGGGCAGGTGAGGCATCTTCCCCACAGAGGTGGCAGGCAGGAGGCCCACAGATAGACAGGTGGGTCAGAGGATGGGAGTGCTGTGGAGGAAGCGAAGTAGAGTGTGAGGTAGCTGCTGGCAGGGGCCCCTTCAGATGGAGCCAGCAAGGCCTCAGAGCAGAGGGCATGTGCCATGTCGGCCCCACGTGGGGCTGAGAAGAGCTGAAGTAGGGTGCCTTGGGCAGGTGGAACAGTATGTGAGGGTGTCCCTGTGCCCACATGATAATCAGAAAAGTCCTTTGCTAGGAGCTTTCACCTCTGTGCCCACTGCCTCTCACCAGGACTGTCTGTGGGACCAGAGTCCTGGCACCCCTTCACAGATTTGCCCACGAGGCTCAGAGCTGGGCAGGGTCCCAAAGGCAGAACCTAGATCTGCCCAGCTCCAAGCTCAGTGCCTCCTCAGTGGCCCCTGGAGCTGCTCCTCTCCCAACCCCAGCCCTGGTCCTGCTGCCTCTGGGGCATGGGGGTCCTCTCAGCTCTCTGCAGTTTTCCAGAGAGCCCTCAGTGTGGCTCTTCCTCGCCTAAGGGAACCTTTCTGAAGCTCTTTATGTCAGCAGCCTCTCCCACCCTGGCAGCCTTCGAGATTTGGGAGTTGGCTTCTTGCTGAGAGAGTAGGATGAAGGGAGGAACAGTAATGTTCATCCAGGACTGCGTCTGGGGGAAGGACTGGGGCACCCAGAACACGGCCTTTGTTCCTACTCATAGCCATGGCTCCCAATTTGCGTCCAGAATACTTATAAAATCCTTGCCCCCTCAGGTGGTTGTGCTGACCTGCACTTACCGTTTGCAGCGTGCTTCACTTCAGTGTTCTCTGGGGGCGAGAGAGCTAGAGCTGGGGGAGGAGCCATGGGAGGGTTTGTGGGCTGCGTCTGTCAGGGCAGATGAGGTGAGGCTGCAGTGACAAGCAGCCCCAGGTCCCAGTGGCCTCACACACACAGGTTTACTTCTGCTCACACTGCCTGTGGGTTGGGTGGGCTGGGGGCCCTGCTGAGTGTCACCGTGATCTTCCTTTTAAGACTTAGGTGTGAGCGTTGCCAGGTGGCACTGTGAGACGAGGAGACCATGTAGATCATGTTCTGACTATTAAAGCTTGTACCTCCTGGAGTTGTGTCAAGTCACCTGTCACATTTCACTGGCCAAAGTAAATGAAGTGGTCACTCCTAACCACAGGGGCCAGAGAAATAGAGTCCTTCCTCCTGGACCTGTGCCTGACAGGACTGTCCTGTTTCCCTGCTTGCCTACTAATTACAGCAAGCCAGGCTCTTTAAAATGATCACACACAACCCTTTCATAACAGAGTCCTGGGAGGTGGGTGTTGTGATTCCCATTTCAGTTGTTGAAACCAAGGCTCCAGGGAGTCGGCAGCTGGCCTGGGCGGAAAGGGGCAGACCTGGGGCTCGAGTCCAAACTCTGGGACCCAGAAGTCCAGTGGCTTAGGGTCCCTGCTTTGCTGCTCACCCCACTGCCCCGTGCTGTTTGGGCAGGGAGGGGAGGGACGAGCCAGGCCCTGGGGTGGGGGTGAGGCTCATCTAGTGGACTTCTAAGGTGGTGGTTTGCTCGGGGGCAAGAGGGAGAGTAGGGGGTAGAATCCAGGTTGGACTGAACCCTGTAGGTCTGCCACACAGCCCCTGAGCCTCTTTGCTCCTTCCCTCCCCTGGGACTGTGCTTCCTCACCCTCGGTGTGGGGATGGCAGCTCCCACGTCACTGGGATATGTCAGGAGCAAGGAGCTTTGCAAGACCCTTGCAAACTAGGTGGCTCTGGGAGATTTTGGGTTTGGAATTGGCATTTCTGTTAAACCACATCCAAGAGACACATCCTGGAGGGGTGGAGTGTGTGGGGGCAGAGGGGAGGCTGTAAGGATTTGCAAAGGTGGGGGCTGAGAGGAGGGCAGCAGCCTGGCTGGGATGAGGGGTCTCAGGCAGGGTCTCCCAACTTGGCTCTGTGGATGTCTGGACGGGATTCTTCCTCTTGTGAGACTGTCCTGTGCACTGCAGGGCATTCAGCAGCACCCCTGACTCTATCCCTGGGTGCCATTTGCACCCCGTGCAGTTTATAATCCAAAGAGCTTTTAGGCATCATCAAACCCCTTTGCCTCTGCTGAGGACCGTGAGCTAGAGTGAGATGCCAGGTTGGCCAGGTCCGTGGCAGCAGGTCCGAGGACTGGTTAGTGACACGCCCCTCATGAGGCCATAAGGCAACCAGCTGGGTTCAGAGTATACCATCTTCACTCGGAACATTGTGCCCAGTGTGGTCTAGGCATGGCCAGGACACCTGACCTTGGCTTCTTGCAGGTTCCTGTCTCCAGCCACCGCAACCCCCTCCTGGACTTGGCTGCCTATGACCAGCAGGGCCTCAGATTCAACAACTTCAGCTCTCTGAGCATCCAGTGGGAGTCCACGAGGCCGCTGCTGGCCAGCATCGAGCTTGACCTGCCCATGCAGCTGGTGTCCCGGGATGATGGGAGTGGTCAGAAGTTGCATGGTGAGCTGGGGTGGTGAGCCCCTGCCCCAGGACAGGAGAGAGAGAGCAGTGAAACCCACCGGCAAGAGGCATCTGAGGAGTGCTGGTGGCTGCTGGAGCTGTTGTTTAGGTCTCCCTTTTATCTGGGATGCTTAGGGAGCATTGTGAGCTCACTACTGTCCTTTAATACTTACGTCCTATTTGAGGGGCAGGGAACAGGCTGGGGCACATCCCTCGCAACCCTCAGTCCCAGGTTACATCGCAGGACAGCCTGGCTTCCACAGCCTGGGGTTGAGCCTGTCTTTTCCAGAGTGTCTAAGTGCTTCAGGCCACCGTCTGTGTCAGCCCTTATGGTACATAAAGTTTCAACAAACTCAGCTGTCTACTTTCAGGACTAGGGAAGATTTAAAACTGCAAGTCAGAAGGAGGGAGGGGCTGTTTCACAGGCAGCAATGGGCAAAAGAAGATGTGGGTCTTCCTCTTCCTGGACTCAGGTTTGCAGGCCGTCTCAGTCCACAAGGCATCGGGGACCACAGCCATCTCTGCTACCGTGACCGGCTACCAGCAGTCCCATCTGCGTGCAGCCAGCGTGAAGCAGCCGGTATCTCCCAGGGCACACTGGTGGGGGGATTGTCCTCTCCGCCCCCGTTCTTCTCATGTCCTAGTGTCCTGAGCCCCCTCACTGGGCTGCACCCTCAGTTCACTCCCCCTCCCTGAGTCGGGTGAGCCTCCTTGCCGGCCTCCTGTCTCCCCCACACCCCACGCCCTGCACTCAGGTGATGGGAGGGACCCAGTGCCCTTTTGGCTACGCACACAGCTTTGGGGCCCTCAGACCTTCAGGCTGGAGCTCTCCTCATCCTCAGCAGGGGCTTGCCCACCCAGCCCCTTCTCCCCGATGGTCCTGACTTATAGGCTGTACCCCCAATGCCCTGGTGGTTTAGGCGGCCATGCCTTGAACCCATATTTCAGCTGCCTGGAATGCCAGTCCCTCCCTCCTTTTTCTCTCTTCTACCAGGCCGCCTCCTGCTCTTTTAGTCCAATCCACAGGACCAGCCCCTGTGGAGAGGGCCCTGAGCTCCCCACACAGAGCAGCTGGTGCCGCCCCAGGGCTCAGAGTCCCCGTGCTTCCCGCTGTCACTGTGCAGACCCCACACACATACACTGTCACCGCCATCTGCACACACGCGTGGGCCATCCACTGGGCACACTTCTCCATCCAGCCTCTCACGGGGGCCCAGGCAGTGGGTAGCAGATGGGTACCGATGAGGCGAGTGGGAAGGGTTCCCCCAGAATGGCGCTGCCTGGATGACACCCACCCGTCGTGGAAGAGGGTGGCAGTCAGCTTGGATTTGCGTGGGGTGGAGGCCGCAGGTGATGGCTGTGAAGGGAAGGTGGGTCCAACTCAGAGGGACTCTGCATGCTCGGATGAGGAGCTTGAATTGTCTCCTGGGTATTGGGGAACAGGGACACTTTTGAAGAGGGTGTGATACTAGGAGGCTGGCCTGGAGGGAGGTGGCCCTGAGGAGCACACTGGCACCTGTCCCTGGTGGCTGAGCTGCCCAGTCATCCCACTGGCACCAGGGTCCCCTCAGCTGGTGGTGGCCTCATGGGCCGCCTTCTGGGCTGCAAACACCCAAGCAGGTTTCCCCTCAGGGCCTCTGCTCTTATCCTCTTCGCCCTGTGGGCTTTTTGCAATTTGTTGACATCACTCACACCTTCACTTCCCGAGTCTCTGCTCGCCTGAGAGGCACATCTGAGAGTCTCCCTCAGACCTGCCTCGGCCCCTTCAGCCGCCACCACGCGCACATCTTCCTGTCATTTTTTTTCTCTTCAATCCTTGCATTAGAATACATCTCCTGAGGGTGGCTACTGTCCCTAAGTGCCTAACAGTGCCTAGTGCAGTGCCTGGCACACAGTTGGTGCTCAAATGCGTGACTGTATGGGTGGGTCAGAGCCTGGAATGACGTTGCAGGAAAGAAAGATCCTCAAATATGCACATGGCCCCAGGGGCGAGGGCCAGCTGGTCCTCTTGTGAGTGGGCTTTGAGGATGCCTGCATAGGACCCCCATGTTTAGGCTGGTCAGGACCCTTGCTGTTTGCCCAGCACCCGCCCCTCCCCCATGGTGCCCTAGCTGGCTGGCTGCTGTGTGCCCCCTACTCCCCATGGTGTGTGTGAATTGCCCACCAGGTGGCGCCTGGAAGGTAGGATGGGCACTTGCCTTGGCAGGATTAGGAGATGCCTCAAAGGGATGGGCTCCTCAGGGCTTGTGCCCCAGACATAATGAATGCTAATGAATGCCCTGGGGTGACACGAGGACCTGCCGTCTCCAGGCCTGCTCTTCCCAGGGGGCGAGGGGTGGGTGGGAGGCCTGTGGGCTGTGGGGTTGGCCTGTTGCCTCCTGGATCTGACGGTGCTTGCCTTACCCCTGCAGCACGACCCTCTTGTGCCTGTGTCGGCCTCCGTAGAACTCATCCTGGTAGAGGATGTGAGGGTGAGTCCGAAAGAGGTGACCATCTACAACCACCCTGGCGTACAGGTACAGCCCTCTCCCTGCCGCCTCGCTGCGTAGATGTGGCCCATCGGCTTGGCAGTTCCGCCTCTGAGCCTGACCCTCCTTGCAGGCAGAGCTGCATGTCAGAGAAGGTTCCGGCTACTTCTTCCTCAACACCAGCACCGCAGACGTCGTCAGGGTGGCCTACCAGGAGGCCAGGGGCAGTGCTGTGGTGAGTGTGGGCCTGTCTCCACCTCGGGCGGCAGGGCCCCTGATATGATTACTTCAGAAGCTGGCACTGAATTGGAGCAGCTGTAGTTTGCGTGGCCTTTTGATTCTCTGGGTCACTGTCCAGCTTTAGCCATTTGCCTGCTACCTTTATGGTTTTTACTTCCATTTCCACGAATTGCCCACACTATTCGTTAGCTAGTGCCTTCCTTCGGTCTGTATTAGGGTTAAAGTATCGTCACATACGCACCACTTTGGAGCCATAACATTGCTTTTAAGAGATGTGCCAGTGTTCATTATTCCCACCGTCCTTTCTCGACCCTCTCCCTGTTCTCGCACATTTGCCAGCTTTGTGCATGGCGTGGAAGAGTCCAGCCTTCACTTCCTCTGCTGTGCTATCCTACATCTTCCTGCATTGCTGTTAGGCTGGCTGGTTACTTATGTGCAGCCATTGGTGCTCAGCCATTTTCTCCGTGCAGAGCACTTTGGTAGTTTAGATCTTTTTTAAAAAATAGCCCTATGGTTATATAGAATGAAAACACATATCAGTATCTGCAGTGCCTGCATAGCTGTACAATGAGTCGTTACACAGTCATGAAAGGAAACTTACTACTGAGTGTGTCAGACCACTCACAACCAGAAGTCATAAATGCAGGCAGCCGAGACCAGAAAGCAGCGATGACACCAAAGCAGTGTTATTAAACTGCAGCTCTTTTCTTGCCGTTGGGCTGCTCTGAGCCTAAGACCTGCCTTCCTTTGTTAAGGGGTGATTGCTGAGCGTGTGAGGAGTGTCATGCTTGTCCCAGCACCAAACAAGGCTTTTTCCTGGACTCGAAAGGGGCCAGATTGAGTCAGGGTTTGGCATGTGGTGGGGACAGTGCAGATAGTGCAGTGAGGGAGGGTGGGTTAGGGCCTCACCCTGACCGTGAGTCGCCTGCTGTCCTGATGCCCAGCTGACCTTAGCATTGCTCGTTTCTGGAGATGAGGCCTCGCAGGCTAGCACAGCATGGAACAGACTCTCTAATTCCAGGGAAGGCTAAAATCAGAATTAACCTTCACAGAGACCTAGTCCCCAAGTCTTTCCGAAATACAGCCAAGCTCTCTTGCCCATGATTGTACAGTAAGTTCGTGGCCCAGTCAGAAATCAAATACATGTCACCCCAGTCCTGCAGGGCAATTCCAGCCGTGACTTCCTGCAGGTCTATTTATCTGTTTGCATCCACTGACTGCCTTGACTCCTGAGTCACAGAATCAGTTGCCTCTGAGGTGGGACAGGTGTAAAGTAAGTGAGGGAAAGGAGCAGGGTGTGAGGAGCATGTGTGGGGAGCGCTGTGCTAAAATGCCACCTGATGCTGAGCTCCTGCTGGGGAGTGACAGGCAGTGGTGGGGACTGTGGCAGATGGATAGCACAGGCCGTTCTAAGCACAGCCACTAGGCATCTACCGCTCACTTTCTGTGTCATTTTTAATAACAGCTTTATTGAGGTATAATTCAAATACCATACAATTAACCCATTTAAAGTGTGCAATTTAGCAAAACAGCATGGTACTAGCATAAGAACAGACACAGAAATCAATGGAACAGAATAGAGAACCCAGAAATAAACTCACACCTTCATAGTCACTATCTGACAAGGAGGCACAAACATACAGTGGGGTAAAGACAGTCTTCAATAAATGGTGCTGGGAAAATTGGGCAGATACGTGCAAAAAAGTGTAACTAGACCACCAACTTACACCACACACAAGAATAAAGCATAAGTTGTGAAACCATAAAAATCCTAGAAGAAAACAGTAAAATCTTGGACACTTCTCGTAGCAATATTTTTCTGATATATCTTCTCAGGCAAGGGAACAAAAGAAAAAATAAAGTAATGGGACTACATCAAACTAAAATGTTTTTGCACAGCAAAGGAAACCATCAACAAAATGAAATGACAACCCACTGCATGGGAGAACATATTCACTAATTGTATTTCTGATATGGGGTTAATATCCAAATATATAAAGAACTTACACAGCTCAACACCAGAAAACCAAACAATCCAATTAAAAAGTGGGCAATGGATCTAAATAGATATACAGATGGCCAAGAGACATATGAAAAAATGCTCAACGTCATTAATCATCAGAGAAATGGAAATTCGAACCACAGTGAGATACCACCTGACATCTGTCAGAATGGTTATCATCAATAAATCAACAAACAGCCCGGCTGGTGTGTCTCAGCAGTGGAGCATCGACCTAGGATCCAGGAGGTCTCGGTGTGATTCCCAGTCAGGGCACATGTCCCGGTTGTGGGCTCAACCCCCAGTCACGGGTGTGCGGGAGGCAGCTGATGAATGACACTTTCATCACTGATCTATCTCTCTCTCCCTCTCTCTTCCTCTCTCTGAAATCAATAAAGACATATTAAAAAGTAAATAAATCAACAAACAGCAAGTGTTGGGGAGGGTGTGGAGAACAGGGAATTGGTGGGAATGCAGACTGGTGCAGCCACTGTGGAAAGGAGTGTGGAGTTACCTTAAGACCTAGTAATTCCTCTTCTGGGAATTTATCTGAAGAAACCCAAAACACTAATTCGAAAGAATGTATGCACCCCTGTGTTCGTAGCAGAGTTATTTACAATAGCCTAGATTTAGAAGCAGCCTGAGTGCCCATCAGTAGATGAGTGGATAAAACAGCTGTGGGACATTTACAGCATAGAACACTACTCTGCCGTAAAAAGGAAGAAAATTTTACCCTTTGCAATAGCATGCATGCACCTAGAGAACGTTATAAGTGAAATAAGTCAGTCAGAGAAAGACATATTATTTCACTCCGATGTGGAATTTAATGAACAAATTGAACTACCAAGCAAAATAGAAACAGACTCATAGATAGAGAGCAGGCAGACAGCCCTAGGGACATGGGGTGTTGGCTGGCGGGGGTGTGGGATGGAGGGATTAAGCAAAAAAGAAAAAAGAGAACTCGTGGACGTGGACAACACTGTGGTGATTGTGGGGGTGCAGGGGGTGGAAGTGGTAGAGGGCATAGAGGGGATAAAAGGTGATGGAAAAAATAAAATAAGATTTAAAAAATAAAGTATACACTTTGGTGGTTTTTAGCATATTCGTACAGTCAAAAAGAAACATACAATCTTAATAGCATCATCAGTTTTAGAGTATTTTCATCACTTCAGAAAGAAGCCCCATGCATTTTAGCTGTCACCTCTACTTGTGCGCACGCGCACACACACACACACGCGGGTGTTGGCTTCTCTCAGATGCTTTTCTGTATCTCTTGAGACGATCATGTGGTTTTTTATTCTTTATTTTGTTGATTTGATGTCTTACATTGCCTTTCAGATGCTAAACCAGCCTTGCATTCCTAGGATAACTGCTACTTGATCATGATATATAATTCCTTTTACATGTAACTGGATTCAGTTTGCTAGTATTTTGTTGAAGAGTTTATGTTCATATTCATAAGATGTATTGGTCTGTGGTGGGGTTTTTTCTGTGATGTATTTGTCCGGTTTGGGTGTGAGTATAATATCAGTATCCTGGGATGATTTAGAAGTGTTCTCTTCTAATTTTTGGAAGTCTTTGTGTAGAACTGGTAACAAGTCTAGCACTGGGAGTGCCAGCAGCACCCACGTGCAGGCCCTACAAGGATTGCTTTCGCCCAAGAAGGTATCCTGGGGACACCTCGACCACTGGGGTCTCTGCTCCCCCTCATCTTGGACCTGTGCAGAGACCATTGCAATTCTAGGTGCAAACTGTATTCTGGTTTCCTTTGCCTCTTCTGTAACCTGCAGGAGAATTTTTCATGGAGTGTTGAAAATCTGCGACAGGTCCTAGCAGCTACTCTCAAGTGGTTATTTCTGAAGGACATTTGTACATCTCTTCAGCATTTTCCAGCTGTTAATTAGTAGCATTCTTATTTCCCTTAACACATTGTATGCGGGAAACGTATTTATACCTTTTACGTTGACTGGTAGTAGAGTGCGCGATAAAAACTACGCGCAAACAATGTGTTAATCACAGAGACAAGAACAGATGCCCACAGTAGTTCTTCAGTTAGTCATAGAAAGTATTTCTTTCTTCCCCTGTTGACTCACATTTGGGACACAAGAATGGCTCCTGGGTGTGGAAGGGGCTGGGGAGCTCAGGTGCTAGTGCCCTGTGGAGGCTGCTGTGCCCACACAGTGCCCCAGCCGGGCGGGGCTGTGCTCCCTTCTCTCACAGCCCCAGAACTCTCTGCAAGGGGCCTTTGTTTCGTTTTTGACTGGCTTGCACATTGGAGTGATTACCTGATTTAAACTTAGGTTTTCTTTTCAACCTAAGTAAGTCCTCTGAGCAGAACCCATGGATTATAAGAGGGGAAAAAGGATCCTACTGTGGGCTGAGTAGCTCACGCCTGCATTAATGCAGCCATTCAGCAAATGCTGGGGCCCGTCCTGTCCAGGCCCTGGTCCCGGCATGTGGGCTCAGTGTGAACAAGGCAGACGGAGGCATGGCTCTCAGGAGCCGCCGTGACGTCTCCACCCTAGTCCTGTGACGCGTAGCCCATCATGGTGACATTGTACATCCGTACTTGAGATGGAGGTTGGTAGTAGTGACAACTGCAGGGCTTGGACTTGGGTGTGTTCTGCTTTTCCCCTAAAGATGACCTCTGGAAAGAGGTGCCTGTCCCCAGCCCTGGCCCTGTGGGCAGTTCATAGCTGGCCAGGGGCCCTGCATGAAATTTCACCCAGTGTCTAAGCCAGGACCTTCTCAGTGCCTGTGACACTTGTGTGATCTTGGTCATTCCCCCAAGACTCGAAGGCATCTGCTCAGGGGCATGGACCCCGACACTCTTGGTGGCACTGCCTGGCCACCACATGACAGTGATGGGCTCAGTATAGGAAACAGGAGCTATTGGCCCCAGTGACATGAGAGAGATTTGCAGGGTCCTTACTTGTCTGCAAATGCCTGTGAAGGGACTGTCTGAAGCCTGATGGGGCCGAGGAGAGCGAGGAGCTGAGGTGCTTAGGGTGGTAGGCACACATGCACATCATAGCTCCCACCCACATACGTGCAAAGTTGCCTCCGGGCCCACCTGCAGCATCTGAATGAGCAACAACACATCCATCATCTCTGCAGACTTTCTCCTCCGCTTAGTGTTTGCTGAAGCTCTCAACACTTAGACATTAGAGTCCATTCTGGGCAAGGATTTCCCCACCTCCTCTTCCTCACACCCCCCCTGTGTGTCCATCAAGTTAGGAGTGGGGGTGGGTCCCCACTTTGCCACCAGCTGGCTGGCAAGTCCTTTCACTTCCCCAAGAGCAGTTTCTTTAAAGCACTGTCCCAGTGGGTGTGAAGTAAGCTGCTCTGTCAGGCGACGGCAGCCAGGCTGCAGAGCCCCCTTGCATCTGAAAGGTGGCTCGACATCCCGCCTCTGGGAAATCAAGTGGAAGAGGAGTTGATTTTCCCACCGCTGTTTTGTCTTTGTTTAAAATGTGCAAAATGGTCCTTTTGAAGGAAAAAGAAATGGGAAAAGAAAGCCTTCTCTGCAGTCTCCTGTGTGGGGCCGTCAGCAGTCTGATGTGTGATTTCTTCACACCGTGAAGGACGTGCCAGCTCCTGATGGCAGGAACTTTTTCAGAAGGGTGACAGCAGATACTTGCATTATGTTCTCAAAGAAAGCCTTTGTTACTCTCTCCAGTGTTTAAATGATTTCTCTCTGGGGAGATGTAATCAGCCAGGGGGAATTGTCCTCGGTGGAGCTGGAGACCAGTGCTCCCAGACCCCTCCTCGCCTGTTGTTAATACCAAGCTGGCACGGACGGCTCAGATTACACACCATCACTTTAGAGTACAAGTCTGGTTTGCACTTGGGGGTCATTATTAATCAACATTAAGTCATTGTGTGGAGTAACCCAGGCACGCTTCATCTGTGTTGATATGCTCTTGAGCTTAGTGATACTGGCAGAGGTTTTCCTTTAGCCAAGCTTGCTAATCCTCATGCCCCCACCTAACTGTGGGTTTGGGCCTGTCTCAGCTTCAGCCTTTTCCTGCCGGCCCCACTCTCCCCTGCCCAAAAGTCTATCTAGTTCCTGCAGGCGTCAGCTCTGGAGGGCAGAGTGTGGTAGAAGGAGCCATATAAGGGAGCCCAGGCTTGGATTCCCGCCCCAGTGCTGCCCCTTCAGGGCTATGCTCTCAGCCTCTGTGAGCCTCAGTTTCCCCATATGTACATTGAAGGGTTGGACTAGAAACAGCCCTTCCCAAATGCATGAGTATACATGGGCTTGCAGACTTTCCCCCAGAATTTCCAAGTCTTAAAGCTAAAAGTAAAGTTGGGCAAGTAGGCCAGAGCACCTAGTATATGTGTATTAACTGAGTGACTCAGCAAGCTGTGCCTGTGGATCTCGATCTAATGAAGACAAGTTTGTTGGGGGATAGTCTGTACCAGACATTAGGCTCAGTCCTGAAGCTACAATATGCGAGAAGACAGCCTGGAAGGGAAGGATGGACACAACAGGGTCTATGCCAACGGTGGGGAACCTTTTTTCTGCCAAGGGCCACTTGGGTATTTATAACATCATTCTCAGGCCATACAAAATTATCAACTTAAAAATTAGCCATGAAAAAAGCTCCTAGGTTTAGTGAATTTTGAGTCCCACCTGTGGTTGCCTTGGTAGGGCCAGATCAAATGATTTCTGGATGTTCCCCACCCCTGGTCTATGCCAAGACTGAATTATAGGTGGTGTAACTGCACTGGGAGTGAGTAAAAGTGAAAGGAATCTGACCTGTCTGGGGTCAGGGAAGACTTTCCTGAAAGGACGCTTAAAGAGGGACCTGAAACATGAGTATGGCCAGTAGGTGAAGACGTGGGAGAAGAACCCCAAATCTTTATTTAGGAAGGACTGAGGCCGGAAGGCGGGTGCTGGCCAGCTTTGAGGAAAAGAGATCAGTGTGGCTGCGTGTGGTGGTACTGGGGGCGTGTGGTTTGCAGTGGGATTAGAGCTAAGTGCAGGGGCCAGATTGTGTCCAGCTCTTACCGGATGTGTTAAGGATTTGGACTCACTCTCTGGGCAGACCTTGAAGGGTTTTAACCTAGGTGTGATATAATCATATTGGGTTGTCTCCTTAGGGTCAGAAACCTGATTCTCCCCCCCTACAAGTTCTTGATATTGAAATTCTAACTTTGTAAACACTCAGTGTACACATTACCCCCCAATAAATATAAGACAGCAAAGCAAAGGCAACAAAGCAAGGGCCAGATAGAGGTGGGAGAAAGCCCACGTGGCTCACCTACTAGCTCCATGAGTTGTCTCTGCCTGTCCAGCCTCCTAGACCACCCAGTTGAGATACACACCTAAGCAATATGACAAGGTCCTGCACATCTATCTGCAGCATTAGGATGTAGTTTGGGGAGAGGTTCTTTTGAGGTGGGACCCATGGAAGTGGATAGAGAGAGAAGGCTTAAGAAGGGGGCATCTTTAGCAGTGAAAGACTGGAAAACAATAGCTCAGATGTGTTCATGCACTCAGAACATTTTACGAGGTCTCTGATTCAGACAGAGCTGTAGGAGAAATGAATGTAGAAGTGATTGAGACTCAAAGAGCTTATACTTAGGACCATGGAGGCCTCCACGGTCTGTTCTCAGGCTCTGATTCTGTGAGTTCAGGCTGAGACTTCTAAGTGAGAGGCAGCTGTCGCATGCCCTTCCAGCCTGACTGGCCAGATGCTTTTGTATTATGGGAGCAGCAGGGTCAGGTGTTTTCCTGGACAGGAAATACAGAATCCTAGGTTCCTAGGTTTAAGTCATTCTATCTACAAGTTGCTACATGCCTAAGACCACTAATTAACCCCCTTTGAGCAACTTCAGTTTTCCTCTTTGTAAAATGTACAAAGGAGATAAATGTTCTCTGAGATACATCCCAGCCCTTTGTTTTATATTTCAATATATTTTGTATTTTATATCCCCTAGCTGGCAGTGGGGGCTCATGGTGACGGGTGGGCAGGGCAACATTTGGGTTAGGATTTTTTCTGTTAACTACTTCTGCCCCCGCCCCAGAGGTCTCTGTGAGATGGTGTTCCATGAAGGATAGTCTGCTGCTGGGAACAGCTGTAACCAAGCCCACCTCTGACCCTGCAGGTGTACCCTTTGTTCCCGGGCACGTCAACCATCATGATCCACGACTTGTGCCTCACCTTCCCAGCCCCGGCAAAGGTGGACGTTCATGTCTCGGACATTCAGGAGCTGTACGTCCGGGTGGTAGACAAGGTTGGTGTCAGCTTCCTGATGTGGCCCCTCTCTGCTGATTCACAGCAACCAGAAAGATGCGGCCACAGGAGATCTTTTTTTCATGTTCTTTGCTTTTTCTCCTGGTTTCTGTGTCCCTCCTGAGTTGCTGCGAGCTTGCTCTGCTGTCTCTCACCTCTGCTGCCCCATGGAATGACCTCTGAGGTGGTATTTCTTCAGCTCAGTTGACATCAGTAAATCTTGGCTGTAAATCCCACTTGTGGTTGTCTCCATGCCAGCCTTGACTAGGGAGTCCCTGTCCTCTCATCAGCTGGGTGCACACCTTGCTGAACACAAATTTTTCTCCCCACTATGTAGGTTTTGGATCCTCAGGAATTCCAGTGGCAAATGAGTGAAGCCCACTGATACCACCCAAGTCTTTTGCAAAGTAAATGCATAATAGATTTAGGCTTGTCTTTAATATGAATAGGAAATGTTTATATTCCAAATACCTAAAGTAACTGTGGCTGGGCTTACAGAGAGGTACTGTCGGTTCCTATTTTTCTGAGTGGGAAGAGTGGTTAATTAAAGGGGACTGTTCAAGCAGCTTAGATAACTTAAAAAGCCAATATTCTCTTACACAGCCTCAAATATTTCTCCTGTGGTATCATTTCCACTGGTAATTTGCTGACCAGACTTCACAGCATTTCTGACTCCCAGCTCCTAAAGTTCTTACTGTATGTATTATATGCTGCCAAGTGTGAGAAATTCAGTCATTGTGCACGTATTGAACTCTACTGTATATCTCTGCCATTCTAAACTGTGCCTTATCTAACTTGATTGTTAATTCTTTAAGACTGGAGAGTGTAACTTATGCATCTAAGTATTTCCAAGGCTCCTTGTATACAGCATTTACTCAATTGATTTTCATTTGTTGTTTGGCTAGTGGTCCGGAGGTCATCCCAGGTGACCTGTCCCCACTGTCCAGGTCTGTGGGTGTGAGGCTAGTGGTGTTTCTCAGGAGACTGTAGGTTGCCGTAGGTGGTGGAGTTGGTCATTCCCAGTCCCCTGAGCCTGTCCCCTGTGATGCAGGTGGAGATTGGGAAGACAGTCAAGGCATATGTCCGTGTGTTGGACTCGCACAGGAAGCCTTTCCTGGCCAAATACTTTGCTTTCATGGACCTGAAGCTCCAAGCAGCCTCCCAGATCGTCATGTTGGTGTGAGTCCTTAGGGATCGGAACAGGGCATCTCGGGTGGTGCTGACAGGCCTGTCTGGGGGAGAAGTCCCAGCCCTTCCCTCTGTTCCAGCTCCCTTGATGAGGCCCTTGACAACTACACTGCCACGTTCCATGTCCATGGCGTGGCCATTGGCCAGACCAGTCTCACTGCCGTTGTGACCGATAAAGCTGGACAGAGGATCAACTCAGCCCCACAACAGATCGAGGTAAAGCTGCTCCTCTGCATGCTGCTGGGGTCAGCCTAGCCCCTACTGGCACACAGGTGGAGATTTCCAGGAAAGTCCAGGAAGCCATGGGGAGAGGTCCTTTCAGCGTCTGTGCCCTACTGTGCCCTCTGGTTACCAGCCTCAGGGCATGGGGCAGCCCCAGAGGAAGTGCTGAGTTACTGAACCTCCCTCTGAGACATAGGGGGTGTTGGTGTGACTGAGAGCAGGGAAGCCACCTCTCTCTCGGCAGGGGAGTAGCAGGAGGCAGTGGGTGGGCAGCAGCTGCAGACCCTGTGGGCCAGCGCATGGAGGCTCCTTCACAGTCACTCTGACCCTTAGAACGGCGCTTAGAGGGGTCAGCTTTTGGAATGGGAGCACCTGGAGCCAGCAGTTCCTGGACATGGGAGCTCTGAGGTTCCCTAGCATCATCTCGGCAGCGTTAAGATGTTTGGCTCCTGCTGGCATCCTCCAAGGGCCTCGGCCACACGTGGGCTGGCGGGCTGTGTGTGTGTGTGTGTGTGTGTGTGTGTGTGTGTGTAATCCTCACCCAAGGAGTGAGGATATTTTTTTCCATTGACTGTAGAGAGAGTGGAAGGGAGGGGAAGGGGGGGGAGAGAGCTAGAGAAACATTGATGTGAGAGGGACACATTAGTTGGTTGCCTCCCATACTCACCCTGCTAATCAGATCTGGAACCCAGGTATGTGCCCGTTACCCAGAATTGAACCTGCGGTCCTCTGGTGTGCAGGCTGGCGCTGTAACCACTGAACCGTGTGACCAGGGCTGGTGGGCTCTGTGCAGCGCGTCTGTGTTCTGAAGCCAGTGGGTGGACCGTGCCTCCGTGGAAGTGCACTGTCCCCTTGTGAAGCGGGATAATTTCTGCCTACAGATAGCACAGCCAAGACGAGTCCTCACGCACAAAGTTGCCCCTTGGCCGACTGGGGCTTTGGCTCAGCCTTATGCTCTCCTTATGCTCTTGCCAGGTGGGGTGGGGGTGCAAGAGGAGGATGTGGGGCTCCGCTCTGCTGCAGAGATGAGGCATCTTCCTCCCTACCCCTGGAACCCACTTTCTAAAAGACATTGAAGTAGAGAACCTCTAAGGCAATTTGTCAGTAGAAATTTAGAGAAATTTCATGAGAGAGGCAACTTTCCAAAGAGGAGTTGGGGGGATCTGAAAGGCGGTGGATGGGGTGCTAACACGCTTCAGAATCTCCGGGAGGACTTGTTAAGACCCAGATCACAGGTCTGGGCTGGAGAAGGTACATCTGCTGGTTCCCAGGAGACGTTCACAAGCAGCAGGACGCACCTCTGACCAGAGTCCTGGGCCCTGTGGGGGCGACTCGGCTCCCCCCAAGTTGACCCCAAGGCTCTCACTGGTGCCTTCACAGAGGAGTGATGTCCACGTACCCTGTTCCCCTCCCTGAGACTGTGAAGTGTGAGTCGTGCCCAGTGGCCTGAGCTTAGAGTACAGTGGCCCCTCCCTCTGTTTTGTCTCCACGCCCAGGTCTTTCCCCCCTTCAGGCTGATACCCAGGAAGGTGACGCTGATTATCGGGGCCATGATGCAGGTAGGAGCCAAAGGCCACATCCTTGTTCCGCCCCGTTCATGGCCAGGCCCCAGCACGGGCATCAGACTGGCTAAGATCGAATGCTCTGGGGCGTTGGCGGGGTGGCACCCTTGTCGCCCAAGGATGAGGCTGGGCTGGCCGGGAGGGTAGTGGCTCACGGCCTGCTGTGTCTCCCCACTCCAGGTCACCTCTGAGGGGGGCCCCCAGCCTCAGTCCAACATCCTCTTCTCCGTCAGCAATGAGAGCCTGGCCTCGGTGAGCTGCGCTGGGCTGGTGCAGGCGCTCGCCGTTGGCAATGGCACCGTGTCAGGGGTCGTCCAGGCCGTGGATGCTGAGACCGGCAAGCTCGTCACCGTGTCTCAGGTAACAGGCCTGGGCTCCATCAGAGACAGGTGTTTTCTGAATCCACCCTGCTGGGTGGTTGGCTCTTGAAGGGGAGGAAGCCCTGGGTGCTGGGTTTCGGCTCTGCCCTCTGAATCTCTAGCCCCTGCCTGTCACCTGGGCTGGCCCTGCCAAATTTGGGACACCTGGACTCTTCTCCAGACTGAGTTTCCACAGCTTCTTTTTAAGGGATGGTGTCTCCGGCCCCCGGCCCTGGTGCTGGTGGCAGCTGTGATGGCCAGCTCTGCCCAGAGCGCTGTGCACCCCTCCCTTGGCCCTCCGGGCCTGGGAGTTTGCTGCTCTCCCCATTTCTCGGTGAGGGGTCAGGGGACCTACTGGTGGCCCAGTCACTCTGCAGCAGTTGTAGGGCTGCCAACAGCAGAGCTTTCCTTCCTTCTGTCCATTCTCTTCGAGAAGGGCTGGGGTGTTTTGAGAGAAGAGGGGGCTGTTGACTCTGTCACACGTGATTACAGTGTGAGTTTCGAGGTGTGCACTGGCCTGGCTGCCATAAGCATAAATGATTGGACACCACTGTATTTTGGGCCTGGATTTGTATTCCCAGGAGAAACAGGAAACCTGAATTGGCCAGTAATATCTTTGGCTCCACTAGCAGTTCTCTTCCAAGCCTCTGTGCAGAGTGGGGGACATTTTTAATTCGCTTTTTTGGGCCAACAAAATGCTGGACAGCCTGGCTAGTGCAGTCCTCTCTGCAGGAGAGCCCCACTCTCCCTGTCGGTGGGACTGACTCCACGCATGTGAAAGTTGGTGTCCCCAAATCTGATAATTTCCCTTCTTTCCAGGGGGTGGGTACCTCTTTGAGTCCCTGGAAAGGAGATGGGAGACTGTTTCCACCTCCTGAGAAGGGCTCAGGGCTCTTAGACTCCCCGACACCTGCAGAAGCATCTCAGGGCAGTGGCCTCATGTTTACGGCCTTGATGGGAATCTGTGCTTAAGGAGAGCATTTTATTTTGTGTAATGTGACTGTGGACAAGAGCCTTTTCAGAGCCCAGAACTGGGACCCTGGAAGACAGTGCCCGGGAACTGGTGCTTGTGTGCCCCAGGCAGGGGAGGCTGGCGCATCCAGCTTCCCCGAGGCTAACTTCGAGCTGACTTTGAGCTCTTGGGTCTGCTCCTTTCTCCAGCAGTTTGTGTCTCTCCATGTGTCCCAGTTGAACTGTGCAGCCCTTTGAATTGTGGAAGTGGACACGGATTCTGCCCCCCATTTTTCTAAAGACAAGGAGGCATTGGGAAAGGGAAAGTCTGTCCTGGGGCACGCACCAGAGTTCAGATAGAGGTCTCGGAGAATAAAATTAAGGAACAAGGAGGCACTGCCCTTCTTTTTCTCTCTAGAGAGAGCATTTCAGCCATAGGAACTGGTTTACTTTCCCCTCTTAGGGGCCCAAGTGGCTGAAATGGCAGCTGACTGGAAATTTGGCCAGAGAGGCCCCCAAGCTGTATTTCCCTTCTGGCCGTTGCTGCTCACTGGGCCGCCTCTCTGTCTGCATCTCCCACCTGGCAGGTTGGGGGAGGTGCTGGGAGAAGGTCCTGGTGCCCCTTGGCAGAGGGAGAGGCTGCATGACCAGCTCCATCTGAAAGGTATTTGGGGCCCAGGCGGGCAGGAGCTCAGCCTGAGGGCCACGTGTCCATGAGGGTATGTGATTCTGGCCAGAAGCTTCCAGTTCTGTCTGTCCAAGAATCAGCACCCAAGGTCAGGGGGTGGACCAATACTGACAGGAGGAGACCGAGCAGTGAGAAGGCTAAAGGAAACGAAGAGAATAATTGCTTATTGAGGACCGACTATGTGCCATGCGTTAGCCCAGCTCACAAGACACAGGAGATGGGCTCATCGCGAGGGCTTAGGCGTCTCACCAGCTTATGTTCAGCATGAGTCAGCAGCACTGTGAAGGAGCCAATCAAGTTAGTCTTTGGTCAGGTTTATAGGAATATAGAGGTCAGAATGAAGGAGGGTGTAAAAAGTCTGCTCTAATCAGACTCTACCTGGCTCCTGCATTTGTCCATCTACTCTGCTCAGTCAGAGAGATCAGCAGGCTGGATTTGGGGTTGGGAGGGTCTAGGGACCTCTCCTGTCAGGGCTTTCCAGCCCCCAATCACTGCCCCCAAGTCTCTGCAGTGCTGACCTGGAGCACCTGGATCAGACAGGCCTGTAGCTCAGAGGGCCAGGCTACCGCTCCCCCCTGCCAGTGACCAGGTCCGTGTGAGGGGACCCACCCCCAGAGCCAAGCCACCTCTGGAAGAGCTAGACCTCCCTTGGGTCTAGCCACGTGACTGAGTGGCCTCCGCAGAAGCCTCTGACCTTGTGGTTGCCTTCCCGACAGCCCTGTTGCCAGCACAGTCCCACGCTCTAGACAACCTGAGCTGCAACGTTCTCTTCCTAGGATCTCGTGGAGGTGGAGGTGCTGCTTCTCCAGGCGGTGAGGATCCGAGCCCCCATCACTCGCATGAGGACAGGGACCCAGGTGAGGCGGACCCCCTTCAGCCCCTCCTTTCTGTGCTGAGTTCTGGTTCAGGATGAGCTTAGGGGAGCCCCTGCTAGGTCATGACCTTCCACTGGAGCACTTCATCCCGGTCACCCTCATAACCTCTTGCCCTGCGGGCTCAGCTCCACGGCTCTGCTCCACACCACCCCGGCACCAGCTCCCTTTGCGCTGCGTGCATCCCTCCCTCCCAGCCCCGTGCTGGTGCCCTCACGGAGTGACGCCCGAGCGCCTGCCACCTTCCCACGCCCAGAGCTAGCTGTTGTGCAGCATGGACTCTACTGGGCGCTTCCTGTGTATTAATTCACTTGGTGTTTATAGCAACCCTGTGAGACCAGTGTCGTCTCCATGCCGCACACCAGGAAGTCACACAGCTAGTGAGCCATGGAGCTGGACCCCTCAGCAGCTGGCTGGGAGTCTGTTCTGGCCTCTGCTGCGTGGCCTCCACCTGTGCCCACTGGTGGACACTCAGGAAGTGCATGCTGAGGAGCCCGTAATCCCACCCGTGCCCATCCTGTGTGCGGGGCCCTAGTGGACGAAGCACAGGTGGTGCGGACGGTGTGCTGCACTGCGGGGCTGCAGGAGTCCTGGAGCTCTAGGGGTCCTTTCAGGCATGGAGTCTCTTGGCCAAGGTGAAATACGAGGATGGGGTGGAGAGGGGCTCCTCCTGCACAAAGGAGACACGAAAGCCCCTGGGCAGTGGAGAGGCAGCTGGGGCAGTGGCCCAGCCTTCCAAGGGCGCTCCTGGCAGTGCCACTGTGGTCACAGGCTGACTCCCCCCAGATGCCTGTTTACATCACTGGAGTCACCAACAGCCAGAACCCTTTCTCCTTTGGCAACGCTGTGCCTGGCCTGACCTTCCATTGGTCTGTCACCAAGCAGGACGTCCTGGACATCCGGGGACGGCACCATGAGGTAACCACCTGCCCAGAGCCTCCCCTCCATCCCAGGCCAGAGTCCGGGCGGGGAGGTTCTCCCCAGATCTGCACAGGAGGTCTGCACCTTCACACTAGGCCAGTCCTAGCCCCTTTCTGCTCTGTCCTTCTGGCTCTTCGGGACACCTTCTCCCAAACACTGCCCCGTGTCCTTCCTCAACTGAGTCCTGTGTCTGGAAATAGGGTCTCCCAGTGATCCTTCTCATAGTGCTTAAGGACTGTCTGCAGCCCTCTTCATTTTAAGCAGTTCTTGCTAATCACTCTGGAGGAGGTTATTGTTAACCCACAAACAGAAGGCAGCAAAAATGACAGGCTGATGGGGGAGGCACAAAAGTTCTGGATGTCACAGGGTCTTGGTCAGGGTCCCTAATCTGTAACTTCCACCCACTGTCTCAGATGATGCCTGGCAGCCCTGGGGTTTCTCCTGGCTTATCCCAGCCCAAACCCCCTTAGGCCTCCACTGGGGAGACCTCTGCCCCTCCTCAGATCTCAGAGCTGGCAAGTGTTAGAAATAACTTACTTAAACCTCTGTATTAATTGCAGCTCATACGTGGAAGGGACTCACCCAGGGTTCTCAGTGAGCCAGTGGGGAGAAGGGACTGGGTGCCCCAGGGCTCTCCCTAAAAACATATTTGGTTTCTGTCCCAGGCGTCACTTCGACTCCCATCGCAGTACAACTTTGCCATGACTGTACATGGCCGGGTGAGAGGCCAGACCGGGCTGAAGGTGGTGGTCAGGGCTCTGGACCCCACAGCTGGGCAGCTGTATGGCTTTGCCAAAGAGCTCTCTGATGAGATCCAAATCCAGGTAAAGGACAGGTGGGCAGAAAGCAGTTGTAAGAGGAGAGAGAGTGCTGGCCCAGTGCCCTTCCCCTCTCAGGGCCACCCCTCCTCCTCTGCCACAGGGCCTCTCAGTCTGCTGGGGCTAGGCCGGGGTGTAAGATGCTGTTGGAGTCCAGAGATTGGCTGACTGAGTGCTGCACAGTGGAACGGCATTTCAGGAGGGAGGAGTTGTCTGGCAGGCCAGGCGAGGGAAGGGCAGGTGTTCCCAAAATAGAAAGTCATTCTGAGCCTGGAGTCTCAGTGCTCTCGTGGGAAGAAGAGGCTGGGAAATAGTCTGAGCTGGCTGTTAACGTAATTGTCTGAATTTATTTTACGAATACTCTTAGAGGACCTAATGGGCAGACACATCTCCCCATTTCCCAGTGCCCCTTGAGGCCTGAGGGCGGGGTGGAAGGGACGGGTGTTGGCCCTTCCAGTTCCCAGTCAGTGGGTGGTGGGCCCTGTGGGGGCCTGGCCTGGCAGACAGTGTGGCCATCCCTTCACAGATGGAGACCAAGCCTCGGAGAGGGGGTGGCCTGCTCACAGCCCTTGGGGCACGCACTACCCACTTAGGACTCTGAGCTCAGCAGTCCTCTGCCCAGGGCTCAGCTTCCCGCATCTCTCCAGCCAACCCTCCTGCCTCTTTGGCCCCGCTGGGCCCCTCTGTCAAAACGGGGAGTTGCTCAGTCGGGCATGGCTCAGCGGTTGAGCATCAACCTAGGATCCAGGAGATTGTGGCTCGATTCCCGGTCAGGGCACATGCCCGGGCTGCGGGCTCGATCCCCAATCTGGGGCGTGCAGGAGGCAGCCGATCAATGACTCTCTCATCACTGATATTTCTGTCTCTCTCCCTCTCCCTGAAACCAATAAAGATATATTAAAAACAAACAAGCAAAACGAGGAGTTGACAAGTTGCTCTGACAAGCATTTTTAGCTGCAGGGACCCTGTTCTGCTGACCGGGGACTCAGGACCCCTTGGTCCTCCTAAATTGCAAAGAAAAACTAAACACACCCTCAACTATTATGAGAAAAGAAATGGGTTCAAGCTCCTCTGCAAGAGGAAATGAACCTTCTCTTACCCCAGTAGGGGTAAAGAAGCAGATGTTCAAAGAAGGAAATGCCTGTTTGCCAGCCCCGCAGCTCTGCCTCCCATGAACATTGTGCACAGGCACCGACACACGCATGTGCACAGACACAGACGTGCATGTGTGTGCACATAAACATGCATAAACACACAAGCACATGCTTTTTCTGGTTAAAATTAAGTTTTAGCACCTGCCGTGGAAGTAAAGACAGGGCATCGCAGCTTCCAAACTCTGACTGCAGTAGGTCATTTAATGTCCCCTTGCCTTGGTTTCCCTAGCTCACAGCAGGTGGAATTTTGAGTACATCAGAAACTCAGAGAAGATGGATCCAGTCCACAGATGTGTTTCATTTGGCTCACTTAGTACTTTGAAACAATTTTTCTTTGTTGCAAACATTTAAAAATAGATTCTGTGTAAAAATCCATTTTGCAGCTTGTCCTGAAGACATGCATTTGCCATATGGCAGCACAGCAGGAGATGAGAGGCAGCCACCCCTTCAATAGAGCTGTGCTCTCCAGTTTGCCATAGGCCCCACCACTCTCTGCTGTCTCCCTGAGAGTGAGGCCAAGTGCCCGTTGCCATTTACCATGGTGCCTTGCACAGTTGCTTTTCTTATAGTTCACTTAACAGGAAAGTGAGATATCTTGTACCTTCAGCCCCACCTAAAGAGAACAACAAAGAACACATGCTTAAGAGTAAAGAGGGAAACACTTATGCATTTCCTGCACAGCAGGCCTGTCCGAGCCTGTCAGTGAGGCAGAAGGGCTCTCCTGACATCAGGTCCCCAGGCAGCTGTCAAGGGCTGTTGCTCCCCATTTAGGAAGCACTGCCACACGTGCAAGTGAATCCCAGGGCTCTTGAGACCAGTATGGCAAGAAGTACTAGTTTTAAACCCATTTTACACACAAAAAAATGTAGGCTTAACTATTATATGGTCAGAACATGGTGCTGGAAGGGAGGGGTCAGGTCGGTTTCCTCTTGGAAACCCTGCAGCCATCGAGGGCCCCAGGGCCCCTAGGGAGTGACAGGATCAGATTCTACCCAACATTATCAGATCAGGTTTATTTTCCTTTGCTGGCCTGAGGTCACCAACATGCCCCCACATCCACTCCCACTCTGTGTGGGTCCAGAGAGAGCCTGGCGGGATAGAGGGGTCGGGGGGGGTGTGGCTCTGAGATGGTCATGGTGAGTTCAGGGTGTCTTGCTGAGAGAACGGAGAATTTAGATGGTGCTGTCTCCAGGCTTGGTTCTGGCTGAGCAAGACCTTGGGCCCTGAAGTCCTGCGCGCTGCCTGTTGTGCACACATCCTGGTGCTCCCCCACCCCTGGGTACAGCAGAGGCCCATGCTGCACACAGTGTGCACCTGCCTGGTTTTCCTCATCACACCTTTGGCCTCTCTTACGGTTAGCCCTTCCCAGCACAGCACCAGCTACCCGACAGGCGCTTGCACGCAAGTTTCTTATCTGTGGGCCCCTCCTGGCTCTCCCTACTGAGAGAGAAGCAGATGCCTGACGTGACTCCAGTGTATTGCAGGAAATGAAATGTGCCTCTGTTTCAGGTATTTGAAGAGCTGTTGCTGCTGAACCCTGAAATAGAAGCAGAACAAATACTAATGTCACCCAACTCGTTTATAAAACTTCGGACAAACAGGTACGCGACCTGGTGTTTAGCAAGGTCAGGGATCTGCACTTGGTCCAGCAACTCATTTGTCAGAGTCGTCTGCAGCTGTGGCTGTTTTGGTGCTCTGGGCATCTTTCTTGGCGTTGCACTGGTGTGGCCTCTCATTTCTCCTCTTTGTGTGGACACCCCACTCTCCTTCATCACGAAGCCCTGTATCCTAGACACTGTTTGATGCCTGCTGCTGAATCCAGTACTTTAGAGGGGAAAGTACCAACTTGCAAGTGTTAAATTCTCCAAATGCCCGTGTGGTCTTCGACTTGCCACTCAAAGTGTAGTCCACAAACCTACATGGGCATCACCTGGGAGCATGTGAAAATGCACATCTTGGGCTCTGGCCGGTGTGGGTCGGGTTAGAGTGTCAGCCCGAGCACCACAGGGTGGTGGTTCAGTTCCCAGTCACGGACATGTGCCTGGGTTGCAGGCTTGATCCCTGGCCCCAGTTGGGGCACATGTGGGAAGCAACCAATTGATGTGTCTCACATCAGTGTTTCTTTCTCCCCCGCCTCCCCCACGCTCTCTAAAAATCAATAGAGAAAGAAAATGCAAACCTCGGGCCCCACCTGAGACCTGGCTTGAACGGGACAGGATCTGCTGGCAATGGGCATGCACAGTGACTGTTGAGAAGCACCCTTTTAAAGCGTGTCTGCAAACGCGATTCCTACCTTGCCTTCCAAGGGGATGCCTGTGGTGACAGTGACCTGCATGGGGCCTGCTGTTGCAAGATGGGGGCAGTGAGGACCACAGGAGCACTTACATGTTCCCTGAAACATACACATGGTGTTCATTCAACCAGATTGCTTACATGCTGGGCTGTGTGCCAGGCCCCAGGAACAGAGGTAGAAAACACACCGTGCCCTTAAGGCACCTGGTGGGGAAAGGGGAGGCAGCACGATAGGAGCCATAATGAAAAGAAGTGTGATGTTCAAGCCCCAGCTGAGAGAAGGGCCTTCCAGTGGAGTCAGGGAAGACATGTCACAGAGAGATGCTGGAGCTGGGTTTTGAAGGATGCATAGGAGTACTCGCAGGTTAAAGGAGAAGAGGAGGTTGAAAGTTGAGGCAGAGAAACTAATGTTTGTTGCAAGTGCACTAAGGAGGGTCTGTGGGGCTAGGGCACCAAGCCATGCTTTTCTTCATGATGCTGACAAGTGTGTAAGAAACACGATGCTGCATGATTTGTCTTCATCCGGTGCATAGTGCCCGTGGCTGTGCAGATCGCTGTCAGAGCAGGTAGCTCATTTCACCCTGTTACCGCCCTTGGAAAAAGGGCATTGCTTCCCCTTCACGCTCAGGAGACCACAGGGGGACGCAATGTGCTAAAGGCACACAGCTGTTCCCAGGCGTTGGGACTGCCTGGAGGTTCGGTCTGACTCAAAGCCCCTGTCTTGTTTCTGCTACACCAGGCTGCCTTATTTCAGTAAATTGAAAACAATTTGCTTCAAAACGGTGTTTTACAGTAAATGCCACATGCAGTGATGAGAGAAAATCAGCCCTCATGGTCTTTCCCTCCCCACCCACCAGCCACGTCAAGTGCTGCTCTTGGGACAGTGAGAAGAGATGCTTTCCTGGGAACCTTGGATTTCCCAAATAGGTTCCTGTCGGTGACTGGAGAGGCAGACCACCCACACATAAACAGCTCTGCTTTGTTTTCCAAAGGGATGGCACAGCATCTCTGAGCTACCGTGTCCTGAACGGGTCCGAGGAGGTTCCTGTCGTGCATGTTAATGAGAAAGGCTTCCTGGTGTCGGGGCCCACGACTGGGACTTCTACTGTTGAAGTGACTGCCCAAGAGCCGTTCGGGGCCAACCAGACCATCGTCGTTGCAGTAAAGGTGGGAGCCCGTTGTTGTTTTTAGAGCAGTAAAGGCAGGAGTGCTGGGGTAATACTTCTCCCTTTTCAGGTGTATGAGTGAGTATTTTCAGCTGAGAAATCCCATGTAAGAATTTACTTTGGAAAGGCCAGGGGCAAAGGTCCTAGATGAAAAGCTACAGCACCTGGCTGTGGAGCCAAAGGTCTTTGGAGATTATAGATTGCAATGACCTTGGTCATAGTTCGGAAAACTGAGGTCTAGCAAGGTCCATGTTTTGCTGGAACTTGCACCCCAGGGTCCTGACCGGCCAGCTGATACCTGGAACACGATAAGCTCCACTGAATGCACGGGCTCCCATCACTCTCTCCTTCCCCATCCGCTCTTTTCATGGAGCAGCTGCAGGCGTGTGGGCAGTGTTGCCTCCACAGTCCAAGCAGGCAGTGCTCCTGCTTTAAATGCCAGAGAGCTGGGGCTTCTGAGGACTGAGCGGTCACAGCCCAGGATATCTTTGCAATGTGAATAATCTAATTTTGCAGTCATGGATTTTTACTCTTGTGGGTTAGATTGGCTCACTGTGCAGGGAGGTGGGAACCTTGTCGCTAGGTTGGGATACTGTTGGGGGCAGGGCCTTTGCCCTTTGTTGGTCCAGCCCTAGTCCTTCCTGAGATGGGGACCAACTGGAGGCAAGCATCTCCTCCTTGGGAGGTGGGTTTTGGGGCAGCCATTTCCCAACACAGTCGCTGCCATACGTGTTCATTGTCCTTCAGGTGGCTCCGGTGTCTTACCTGAGGCTCTCCATGAGCCCTGCTCTGCACACCCAGAACAACGAGGCCCTGGTGGCCCTGCCCTTGGGAATGACTGTGACCTTCACTGTCCATTTCCACGACAACTCTGGAGATGTCTTCCATGCTCACAATTCCGTCCTCAACTTTGCAACTAACAGGTAGGGTTGGGTGCTGCTCGTCCCTCCTGTGAAGGATGCTTCAGTTGTACCTACGTTAATCTATAGAGGTGGCTGGTGACCACACGAAGATGCTAATGCCAATGAAAGGAAAGTTTTGTTACTTAGGGTTTCTAGGAGGAGGGGCACACCACTGCCCAGTCACCAGGGGAAGCAGCAGGCCTGGTCCAGAGGCAGGAGGAGGAGGGAGTGTGGCTGGGAGCCTCTGTTTGCTCCGTGGTGGGATGTTATTGGGTGGGGATGTCCCCTGATGGTCAGGAAGCAAAACACAGATGTGGGGGGTTGCAGTTGGATGGTTTATACTAAGATTTTTGTGTACCTTTGAAAGCTGGATGGCAGAGGAGGTGCTGACAACCTTGGCCATGGTCCTGGCCCTGTCACCCGTGGGTGTGAACCCCCAATTATAGGATCACAAAAGTTGGTCAGAGCAAGGCACTCACCTTCCAGTGCTCAGTGCTCACTGACCGCAGGCTTTGTGGGGCCCCTCTGTGTAATGTCTCGCTCTTGACTGTAGCCTCTGGTCTAGGGCCATAGCCTGGAAGAGAAGGCTGAATACCAGGTCCCACCGGCTGCAAGTGCAGTTCTTTTTGGATGACTCCCTCTGAAATGCAGCTGCAGCCTCAGGCCTAATGTGAGGGGCGAGGGGTGGTCTCCAGGGCAGAGGAGAGCACCATGGCCTCAGTTGGCCTGCTGAAGCTTCTGAGTCCACTAGAGAGGTGGTTCTCAAGTGTCGTCCCCAGACCAGCATCATCCACATCACTGGGGACTCTTAGAAGTGTATGCTCACGGGGCCCAACAACCTGTATTTTAGTGAGGCTTCCACGAGACTCTAAAGGTTGAGAACCACTACCCCGCCCAGAGGAGAGAGAGGCATCAGACCAGGAGGATGTAGTAGGGCTTGGGGAGTCGTTCTAGGCAGCACTGGGGTGGGGGCATGGAAGACTGTGCCCAGGTGCCGGTGCCCATAGCAACCTGGCCCTCCCAGGGGCCCTGTGACAGATGAACCCCCTATTGCTGAAATAGTCAAGGCCAGGCATGGGGGGCTGGCCTGGCAGAGGAACCTGGGTTTAGAGTGAGACCTGGTTCAAGCCCAGCTCTGCTCTTTATGGGGCCTGTGAACTTGGGCAAGTCAGACCTTTCCAGACTTCTGTTTTACACCTCTCAGGATGGGAACGTGGCCTAGTCCCAAAAGTCATCACCTGAGGCAGTGGGTGTGAGTGCCTCTGCCAGCCGTGGAGTTCTGTGCACAGTCCTGGCCGTCTGTCAGTCCGGGATTGTAGGCTGCCCTAGGAGAGCCAGAGCTGGGTTGTTGCAGCCCCTCGGCTACCCTGCAGAAGTCACACTGGCCCTTTTGTGAGAGGAGCCTTTCTCCAAGGGACTGGTCGGGGCTCAGGAGTCAGAAGGTGTGGTGGAGGGAAGTCTGAAGCCAGGGACCCCACCGTGGCCTGCCCAGTCCTAGCCTCACCTGACAGCCCGCTGGTGTGGGCAGAGCTCTAGTCCGGGCACTTACAGCTGACTGGCGCAGTGCTCACAGCGAGCCTGTGAAGAGGGGTCATTCTTACACTTGTCTCACAGGTGAGGGCCTGGGCGGAGGCTTGGCTTATTCTGGTGACACGGCAGAGGGCAGGGGTGCCTCCCCGGGATGCGCTTGCTCCTTGTGGACAGCACTCGCGGGTCGCTTTTCTCTCTGGCCTCCGTGCCCCCTCTGCAGTGTGGGGGTGGCAGAGGCCCAGGTTCCTCCAGAGGTGAGGTGAGGGCAGGCCTGTTAGGCCTGTGGTGCTTTCTTAGCTGGAGCAACCACTGGGTGGCCAAGAGCCAGAGTGACGTCTGGGCAGCAGTCAGGAAAAGGTGTTGCCCGGCGCAGGACTGGCCTGCGTTTCTCCCTCTGGAGTCCGGGCCTCCTTCCTGAGACTGAGAGCCCCCAACCACTTCTGCGCCTAGAGAGGAGTTTGTGCAGATCGGGAAGGGCGTGACCGAGGACACCTGCACTGTGCGCACCCTCAGCGTGGGCCTGACGCTGCTCAGCGTGTGGGACTCGGCGCACGCGGGCCTCTTTGACTTCATCCCACTGCCCGTCCTACATGCCATCTCCCCGGAGCTGTCTGGAGCGGTGGTGGTGGGGGACGTCCTCTGTCTGGCTACCGTTCTGGTTAGCCTGGAAGGTAAGGGGTGCTGGCCAGAGGAACCCTCAAAAAGACAGAAAGGGCGTCCCTGGGGAGGTGCTTAGCTTCCTGCTGTAGGAGGTGTGCCAGTAGAATTTGGACGATGTTTTGAACAGCAGTCAGGAGGCTGCCACCCTGGTTCACAGCCAGCCTGCTGCCTCATTTTTGCACATAAAAGTTTATTGGAACTCAGCAACACCCGTTCATTTACTTGTCGGTAGCCACTTTCACCTGACTGCCAGGCTGGATGGTGGCATCGGAGACCTTAGGGCACACACAGCCCCCACCACGTGACCCTGTGCCAACCCCTGTCCAGTAGAGCCCTGCCCCTGTGGACGTGTCCTGTGCCTACCTGACGCAGTGGCCACTGGTGGTGCATAGCTGAAATGTGACTCGTGCAGCTGAGAAACTGAATGTGTGTTCACTGAGCTTTGTGCCCAGCAGCGCCCAGTCGGACACCATGCCTCTGGAAGGAAACTGAAACAGAGAATAGCATGGAGCCGATTCAGTGCTTACAAAGGCCAGTCCTTCCCAGGCCACCTGTACACCCATGTGCTACATGTACAACCATCTATTTAATTTTTTTCAAATTGGCTCCCTATTTTTTTTTACTTAAGTAAAAGAAAAGTAACACTGCATTTAAAGAAAAGCAAATATAAGTTGCCATAAATAGAACATGATTGTTGAGTTTTTATTGTATTTATTGTATAATGTGATTGGCTTTTAATGAAATGCTGTCTAGTGACAGCTCTGAGCCTGACACCTGCTTTGCTTGGTAAAAGGGACTGATAAGTAATGGGGAAGGGCATGCAGAGGGTGGCCTGGAGGGCCAGGACCCAGGTCATCTTGGGACGGGAGTGACAGAGGACAAGCAGGGAGGTGCTGGGGGTGGGAGGGGGCTGGTTCTTGGCAGGGTGCAGCTGTGCGGTAAGCAGGTGCGGTAGAGCTGCAGGTGGTTCAGGCGGCTGCAGCCAGGAGTGTGCGGGGTGCAGCCAGCCACGCCAGGCGGCAGAGCAGGCAGAGCGTCGGTTCTACCCTGAGGAGGGTGAGTGAGCTTCCATGGGCCGTCCTGCGGGACGGGGCGGGGCAGCATGAAGGCTGGCACTGTCACCGGGCGAGGTGGGGTTTGGCAGGCGTCAGATGTGGGAAAGATGGTTGACTTCGGGGGCTTTCTCTCCCAGGTGTCTCCGGGACCTGGAGCTCCTCAGACAACAACGTCCTCCACATAGACCCCAAGACAGGAGTGGCCGTGGCCCGGGATGCGGGATCCGTGATGGTTTACTACGAGGTTGCGGGGCACCTGAGGACCTACAAGGAGGTGGGCTTCAGGACACATGGCTCAGTGGCCCGAGAGGCATGGCTGAACTTCTTGGGGTGAAACTTTCAGTTTTTGAACTGAATGATTCCCTTTTCTTTAAGAAATAAGTGTCAGTGCCTTCGGAGGCAGCCAGGATCTGGGAGTGATGAGTCTGGGGTCTGCCGCCCACTTACCTTTGGGATTGGGACAAGTGCCCTTTTATTTGCAGCCTCTGTCTCCCCATGTTCAAATGGTGTGATGATGAGAGGTCATCTCCTAGGGTTGATCCCATCTCCCACTCGACTCAAGCTGTGCCTGGAAGGGCAGGGTGTCCTGTGTGGGCGTTTCTCAGGAGTTGTGCTGTGGGCAGGCCAGCACAGCGATTTGGCATCGCTGGCAAAGGTAAACCTCCTCCAGCAGCCTTTGAGTCTTTCTGGAGGCGAACAAAACTGCTCTCTCCTAATTATCTCCGGCTGAGAATGAATCGATGAGCACGTCTGGCTGCACCCATGTGCCTCGTTTCCAGAGCCAGCCTGCTGGTATTGAATCCCGCAGGGCCACCCGGAGCCTGCACATTGACTGTGCAGCTCTGCAGTCGGGTAGCCAGTGGCAGAGAGACACTTCGTGCCTAATACAGCCATGCTCTCCTGGAATGAGCTACTCGGGGTGTGAGGGGCAGGGACCTGGGGAGGGATGCTGACAGAGGGAGCGTGGCATGGGTAGAGGTGTGCAGGGTTCAAGAGCCCAGTCCTGGTGGCTGGAATATAAGGTGTGGGGAAAGGGAGCCTGCTTTGTGATCAGTCATAACTGCTTTAATTTATGGGTAGGTAGTTCCATGGAGTGGTTAAGTATGGAGGCTCTGGGGCCAGGCTGCCTGAGTTTAAACCCAGCTGGACCACCCAACTGAGAGGCTGTGTGATCTGGATAAGTTATTTAGTCTCCTTCTGCCTCAGTTTTCTGACCTGTAACATGGGGGTGGTGGTGCTGCGGAGCATAATGAGTTAGCGTGTGGGAAGCTCCGAGAATGGTGCTCAGCGCACAGCAAGTGCTCAGTAGGATTAGCTGTACTCTCACTGTTCCGGGGCAAAGAGGCTGAAGCTTATGCTAGATGCAGTAGAGGTTCATCCTTTTTTTTTTTATCAGACTGGCATGGATCAAAGGTAAGTTTTGGAATAATCACCTGGTGCCCAGCAGAGCCTAAGAGCCCAAGAGAGGAGGAGTGGCTGCAAAGGAAGCAGCCAAGAGACCAGGGATGGCCCTCGGCTGGCACCATTGGGTGGGCAGAAACTGAGGGTGAGTTTGGGAGAGATTCAGGAGGAAGGGTCAGCAAAGCTTGGTGACTATTTAGAAGTGGGGGATGAGAGAGAAGGTGGCCTTGGAGAGGACTCCCTGGGGTCTGGCCTGGGTGACGAGGTGAATGCTGGTCCTTTGCTGCTAGAGGGAGCACAGAAGGGGAGGCCAGATTGGGGGAAGGTGATGAGTGACTTTGAGGCATGGTGGGCGTGAGCTCCTCCAGGTGGGGCTGGTGGGGATGCAGCTGGGTGGGTGTGCCTGGAGCTCCCGGACAAAAGGCCGGAGATGACGGTGGGGGTTTACAGCACAGAGATGGTTCCTGAAGACCTGGGAGTGGGTGGGAAAGTGCAAGGTACACCAGAGCAAGAGGGGAGTGGGGACAGGGCCTGGGCCCTCTCTCCAGAATGTGGAGGACAGAGAGGAAGCAGGGAGAGAGCAGAGTATGACAGACAGGAGTAGAAGACTGGGGAGGGTGGGAGGTGCCAGCACAGGGGTGCAGGTCACCACTGCCGGACCTGGGGCCTGCCTATGGCCCTGCATCGGCCATGGCTGGGAGCACTTGTAGGAGAGTTGGACCCATCCCCACACTCAAGGAGACCAAGTTCTGGTAGAATTCACATCTGGAAGAGCCAGGAAGTGCTCAGTGCCTGCCCAGAGTGGGCAGGTAGCCTTCCAGCTGGAGAAGGCTGCTTTGGAGCTGGGCCTGCTGGACTACAGGGCGGACAGGCTCTGCAGAGGAGGTGGGGGCCTGCAGTTGGGTTGCAAGAAGGGCAAAGGGATGAGCAGGGGAGATCTGGGAAGACTGAGGGCCCTTGACTGAGGGCTGGTGAGTTTGCATTCAGGCCAGGTTGCTTTATTTTGAATAAACGGCGGTAGAATAAAGTAGATTCTTTTCTCTTTGCTGAAAGATTAATCAAATTGAACAGAGAAGTGATGATACCTGTCACAGGAGCCAGTGTCCAGTGCACCCCAGGCTGATGGATGAATTCAGGCCTGCTCTTCAGCTTCCTGCACCTGTTCAGTGGGAGAGCCACTGGGCTGTGGAGTCCGACCATCACGGGTCTAACCCCAGCTCTGCCATGTTCTAGCACATCATTTAGGCTTTGAACCTTAGTTTTATCACCTGTGAAATGGGCAGTCCCTGCATCCCAGGCCACATTGGCCAGCACGCACACAGCACTCAGTGAGGTTCCCTTGCCTTCCTTCCAGATAGTGATTGGCATCCCTCAGAGGATCATAGCCCGTCATATCCGCCCTGTCCATACCAGCTTCGAGGAGGTCACGACGTCCAAAGTGATGGTCACCATGGGAGACACAAGCTCTAACCTGAGAGGTAGAGAGTGAGTGGGGCTTGGGCAGTCTGCGTAGGGGCCCAGCGAGTGTGCCCTTCCACTGGGGTTTTGTGTGCTTTTCCTACTCAAACTCATGCCAGCTCCAAAGAGGACATTGAAGCCCCACTGGCCTTCTCCTTCCAGCTTTTTAGAAATTCGAGCGATCCACAAGCAGAAGCCATGAAAGGAATCTTCCTAAAAGGGCCTGCCACCCAGAAACTGTCATTCCTTAGCTGGGAATGCAGCTTCAGTCCTGTGGCAGCAAAGAAAGCCACAGCTGACCACCACTAACCCCAGAGAAGAATGGCTTAGCCTCGTCACTGACCTTGGGTTTTGTAATTGCCTCACCCAGGTCATACATAGAACATTCAGTCCCATCCCCTGCCCCATGACAGGCCTGGACAAGCAGCTGCCAGAAATAAATACATCAATTCAGGCTTTTTTAAAAATCGACTCAACCGGTGGAATTAATCAGAACCATTTTTGTTCTGATTAATGAGCAGCTCTGTTGCATCATGGTCACCTCCCTTTTCCTACCTCAGGCCAGTGAGCAAGACAGTGCTGCTGCAGAAAAGACAGCCAGTGAATTAATGGGGCTGTTGCTCTCCTGCTGTCCAGAAATAAATTGCCCATTTCCCCCTAACAGGAGCCCGACCCACCTGCCCACCACACCCTAGACCCAACCTCTAGAACACATGCTGAAATTCTGATCTGAAGTTGCCTGGGGTTCAGGATGATCCCCTCCTCTGTAAAATTTGTCCTTAGCTTTTATAAACCATGGTACCATCATGAAGCTTTAGGCAATCTTGGGGGCCTCATGTGGGAGGAATTTGGGGTGCAGTTGCCATTTTGTGGCCCGGCCAGCTTCCATGTGGCCTGTCCCTGCTCCTTACCTTGGTGCTCTTCAGGCAGGTGTAGAGGCCTGGCCCACGCCCTCTCCCCCTCTCCCCATCTCTAGGTGAGTGCTCCCTGGCCCAGGTGGAAGTCATCAAAAACCTGCATCCAGAATCCCTCCTCAGCTGCCAGGTCCAGTTCAAGCAGGACGTCTTTGATTTCCCGGCATGTGACATTTTTGCTGCAGAGCCAGTGTTTGATGCTGCTATGGGTAAGTCTCCAGGGGTTTGAAAGTGGAAACTGACTTGCATGGAGGGTTTGCCTTCAGTGCATTTGACTCGCAGTGGCTGGCTGTCCAGAGGGGCTGTCTGTCAGGAGCCTAGCTGGGCGTTGGCGCTGTCACTGGCTCTGGGGCGCATTGTGTCTTCTGCGCGAGGCGGGTGTTCCTGGGTGGGGCGTCGACATCTTCAGCAGCCACCTACCCAGCAGGAAGGACATGGTTCAGAGGTGGAAACTCTGAGCTCGACCACTCGCTCTCCCTAGCTCCGAGCCTGCAGGTGTTAAGACTGCGTTTCTCTGTGAAATGAGGTGGCACCTTGCTCTACCTGCAGGTCAGGGCTCGGAGAGGGATGGAAGGTCCTTATTAAATAGTCGAGGGCCATGCAGCATGCCAGGAACTAGGGCTGTGGAGCTGAGGCCAGCATCATAGAGCGCCTGCCTGGCAGGATGGCGTGCTTCCACCTCAACCTGGGGGTTCGGGGTGATTCTGTGACGCCACGCGGAGCAGCGTGTGTCCTGCGTCCTCAGTGGCAGCTGCCGTGTTGTGATGACTGGTGACAGTCAGTGAGCATTTTTAGTTCTTTCTAAGAATATGCAGCCTAGTCTTAACTGGGAGAAGTTGACAGAGCCTGAGCCCAGTTGGCAGCACCAGTGGCCCAGGGCTCACCCTGCATCTCTCTCCCTCTGGCAGCAGCGCCAAATCATCTTCGGTACCGAGGCCACTGTCTGAGAACGGGAGATGCATCATGAGGGCGCATGTGTGGGGGCCATGCTCAGGGCTTAGCACAGAGTCGGCACCCAGTGACCCCGGGCCTGGCTGCTCAAAGACGCAGTTCCAGGGGGAGTGATGTTCTCTGCATCTGAACAAGAGAAACAGGGACACCAAGGAAGCTGACATGCCTAGGGGAGCTTAGCTGGCACAGGCATGGAGGGCACTCCTCTAGGGGCCCTTGGCAGGCATGGGCATAGAAGGGACTCTAAATCAGGCATCTGGGTTTTAGGGTTAGGGAGCTTTCCAAGGTTGGTTGTTCAGCTCACTGATCTGCTCTGAGTCAGGCACAGAGGACGTGAGACTCCAGAATAGCCCCACTCGGGCCTTTACAGAACTTCTGACTGCACCTGGGCCTCGGCATACCCTGAGCCAGCTGCAGCTTGACCTGCCGCCCTGCAGTGGTCACGGGGCCTGCTGGTCACCATTTAGTCACCCTTGCTCTGAGCCAGGCTGGCTGGGCCCTAGCTGCAGAGCTGGGCCAGATGCTCCTGCCCCAGAGAGCATCCGTCCAGTGGGGACCCGGGCAGTAGAGGATTCTGAGACAGTGAAGGAGAGTGCTGGCTATTAAAAGGGTGTTTGGGCTGAAGATACTGACAAAGGACTTCCTAGGAGACCCCTGGAGGAGGTGACGCCTCACCTGGGCTCTGAAGGATAAGTAGGAGTTCTCCAGTTAAAAAAGCGGAAAAGAGGAATAGCGTTAGGGCACGGGTGGGAAAAGGGACAAAGTGGAGCACCCTCGTCTCCACAGGTCGGTACCTGTGCTCAGTCGTGATGCACAGACTGACAGACAAGCAGCTGAAACACCTGAGCATGAGGAAGACCACACTGCTGGTCACAGCCAACCTCCTGGGCAGCCGCTTCTCTGGAGAACAGGTCGGGGCTGAGGTGCCCTTCAGCCCAGGGCTGTATGCCGACCAGGCTGAAATCCTTTTGAGCAACCACTACACCAGCTCCGAGGTCAAGGTCTTCGGTGCCATGGAGATTCTGGAGAACCTGGAGGTAAGTGGCATCGACACACAAGCCTAGGGCATGAGGAAGGACCAGGAGGCAGAGAGGGCTTGGTGGAACATGGAGATCCTAGATCCCCTCTTTTTAAAATAAAATATAAAAATAATTAACACTCTCACTCTTTTCCCCATAGCACTATTGGTCTCTATTAGCCTATTAATTGTATTAATTGTTGTGACTTCTGCTGATCTCCCCCAACTAGAAGCTAAGAATGCAAGGGCTGCACTTGGTGCAGGGCCCTGAACACAGAGTCGGTGCTCAGTGAACATTTAATGATTGAATGAGTGTGTTCAGTGCCTGGATGCTGCTGACATGGGGCAGGAAGAAGTGCCCAGCCCATAGCCTGTCACTGGCTCATGCACAACTGGGGACAAGTCCCTGTCTCTAGCCTCAGTTTCCCCATCTGCCGAATGGTGGGCGAGTGATGTCCTAGAGCCCAGCACGTGGGAAGGGCCCAGGGCTGATGTGTGGGGCTGTTGGCTCCACTGCGGCCTCCTCCTCTCGTCTCAGTGCAGTGCTCGGTGACGGTAGGTCCGCCAGGCCCTGAGTTTGGGCTGCGACCGAGCCACCATTAACAGAGTGCCAGGCTGCTTGCCTTGAAATCTGGTGTTTGGTGACAGTTCATGTCCGTTTAGCGTTTTTAAAGGAGCACGTGGTTAGAATTCAGTGATGCTGACTTGTCCTTTGCTTAAAAACAGTTGAAGCATCGGCAGTGTGCCCCCCGTGTCGCAGGGGCGTGCTGGCCGTGAAGCGTGCCCAGTACCGCCAGCTCTCGGAGGGACACAGCATGTCAGGTGGCGGTGGGTGCTTCCCTCCAACCTGGCCTTTCTCCCAGGTGAAATCGGGGTCCCCAGCTGTACTGGCCTTCGAGAAGGAGAAGTCTTTGGGGCTGCCCAGCTTTATCACATACACAGTTGGCATCTCGGACCCTGCAGCTGGCAGCCAGGGGCCTGTGTCTACCACCCTGACCTTCTCCAGTCCTGCAACGAGCCAAGCCATCACCATCCCAGTAACTGTGGCCTTTGTGATGGACCGCCGAGGGCCTGGTCCCTGTGAGTCATGGGCGGGGCACCAGCTGGGATGGACCTGGGTATGGAGAGACAGACTGGAGTGGCCCTGGGTTTTAGTGGGAACCTGGAAGAGTGGGAACTGGAGGAGTCAGAAATGCAGAATGTCCCACGAAATGAAAGCTACCTGTTAGGGCAGCCCCGCACACATTGCTTCCCATAGTCCATTCTTGACAGGCAGCCAGACGGAGCCTGTGAAACTGGCTGGATTGTACCCCTCCTGTGCTCAGCATTCTGCCATGGCTCCAGCCTCCTTGGGAGATAAAGCCCAAGTCTCTCCAAGGTCCCCAAAGGGCCCCACATGGCCTGCCCTCTTGACCCATTTGTGACTCGTTTCCCCTGTGCTCCCTGCTCCACCCAGACTGGCCTCCTTCCAGTTTTTGGAATGTGTGCAGATCCCAGCTAGAGCACTTGGCATCTGCTGTTCCCTTGCCCGGGATGTTTTTCCCCAGGTAGTCCCTTGGCCGAAACTCCCACCTCCTCTAAAGCTTTCCTCAAACGTTACCTTCTCCTAGAAGCTGAAAATCCAAACGTCAGTCCAGGCATCCTTCCCCTGTGTTTCCTCAGTGACCACCTGCACGGTCGCTAATCCCACTGAGGGGTGCGGTTTCTGCCTGTCTTCCCAGATAGAAGTCAGGGGCACGAGGACAGCATTAGAGCAGGGCCTCCCTCACGTACAGTTAGGGCGGTAACGAAGGTACGTATTCTCTACATGCCGTGTCCCAGACCCTGTGCTGGGCAGGTGCCTGAGGAGCGCTTCCCCGGCCCCCATTCCCCAGTAGGGAGACAGGGGTCATAGCCCCCGAAGGAGAGGAGTGAGCCCAGAGATGTGGCTGAGGATGTGGGCAGCAGGCGGGCAGTCTCCCTTCAGCTGGGAGGGGCTGCAGTTCAACGGGGCTGCTGCAGCTGGATCTGGAAGGAGGAGTGGCCAGGGGCCGGGCGGTGTGGCCAGACAGACCCTGGGTGCTGTGCAGGGCGAGGGGCTGGGCCAGAGGAGCTGGAAGGAGCCTGGAATGCTCCCAGGGGCTTGGGCTTTCTTCTGAGGGCAGGGAAGTGACCTGGTCTGGCCTGTTTGGGAGTGGACTAAAGGGGTAGGACCATTGTCAGGGACACTTGAGGCCACTGCCTTATTCTTGCCAAGCTCAGGACAGCTCATTGAGGTGGAGGGAGGGTCCTTGACAGGGCTGGGGATGAGGCCTGGGCCGTGCTGAGTTGGGCCCCAGAGGAGGAGCGGCTTTGGGGCAGAAGGTGCTGGGCCTGTGGTGCACTCAGCCTTGCTCTGAGAGCTGCGGAGTCCCTGCTCTGTGCCTTTGCCCCGACCTCTGCTGCCATGGCTCTGGCTCACGCCATAGCATTTCAGCATGTGGCTGGTCCCTGGCAGCCCACACCTCCCTGACTCCCCCAAGGGGCCTGTCCTACCCTCAGGCCTCCCTGAGGAGTGGTGTTGCATCTCTCCATGAACAGGGCGTTTCCTCCAAGGAGGGCGGCTGTGTGGAGGAGCAGGGTGGGATCAGGCAGCCCAGGGGAAGGGGACAGCACTGGGGTGCCAGCCCCCCCATGGGACCAGACACTGCCCCTGGCCTGGTGCAGGCCATCCCGCCCTCTGACAGTGCACACGGACACGAGAGAGTTCCACATAGCAGTTTGGTAAGTTGCCTTTCATTGATTGCAGACGGAGCCAGCCTCTTCCAGCACTTCTTGGATTCCTACCAAGTCATGTTCTTCACCCTCTTCGCCCTGCTGGCAGGGACCGCGGGCATGGTCATAGGTGAGGCAGGCTACTTTTGTCCCTTGGATTGCTTCCCCTCCCCCACCTTGCTCTAACCAGCCACGTATTGGGTCTTGCAGCATACCACGCCATCTGTGTCCCCCAGGAACTCACCCCACGACCAGCCCTTTCCCACCAAGCCAGCCCTTGGCACAGCTCCCACTGTGAGTAGCCACCCTGCAAGCACAGCCAGACAGAACTGGGATGAAGGGGAGGGGTCCTAGGAAAAGTGGTAGTGAAGCCCTCAATCCCATGTCTCAGCAGGCCTGGTGCTGAGCACCAAGGAGCAGCCTGGCATGAGGCCCAGGGGCAGATCCGGGAGCTCATCAGAGGGAGCTGTGGGCTCCAATGCTGGTCCTGGGTGCTGGGTGCTGCATCAGGGAGCTTTTTCAGGCAGAGCTGGGCAGGGTGGAGGGGCTGGCGGCAGGGAGCTCTGTCTGCAGGTGTGCACACCCGGCCTGGCTCCCATCTGCCGGGCCACTGCAAGTGGACTCTTAAGCTGGGCCTGGGCTGGCTGACCCAGGACAAGGATTCCGGGCAGTCCTGATAAGGGATTTCCCAGGTGGGCAACAATGCCAGGACCCATTCTCCTTAACAGCCCTGTGGTCTCTGGTGGCCCCAAGGCCATGGGGACTCCGCACAGCCCCAGGGAGCACCTCTGTGCAGTGCCCAGTCTGCACAGCTGTACACAGCAGCCCTGCTCCCCGTTCCGGGTTCCCTGCCCCACATATAAGAAATCCTTGGACTGGTGTCTACTGACCAGGTCCAGGCTTCTCAGGGTGGGTGTGAGTTTTTTGACAGAGGGCATAGTTTTGTATATAGATGCATTTCTAGGCAACCAGTTCCCACATGCATGCTGGGCCCCAGAGTCGTAGTCTCCTACTAGGCTCCTCTTAGGCCTGCAAACCAACGCCCATGAAAGGCATGGGGTGGTCAACAGCTTGTTTGCTTTATAACTCGGACAGCTAACCAGCTGTTGCCACAGGGCACTCACCCTGGCTACGCACACCTCCCCACTCTCCTTCCCTGTGTGTTGGAGTCACATCAGGGCCTTTGCACTGTCTCCCCAACACTCCAGACCCTCTGCTCACCCTGGAGTCTGTTCATGTACCTTTCTCTGCCCTGGAGGCTGTTGCTATCCAGGTGGATGGCCCCTCCCTGCATGCACCACAGACTGGATGCTACTCTGCCATCCTGAGACTCTGTTGGAGCTCCGGGAGGTCAGGGGTCACACCCCAGGCCTCTCTGCATGACCAGCTGTTGCTCCTTCCCTCTTAGGGCCAGCTCAGCAAGCACCCGGTGGATTCTGGTCTGTGGCCCAGAGGAGCCCAGGGCATATCTGGGAAAGCCTCTGGTGGCCTTTGTTTAGGGGACTCTCAGGAAGTGCCACTACCTGGGCTCTGTCGCTCACACGTCTCTCTTTTCACCCTAGATGTTGCTGCCTCCTCCCCGATGCCCTTCAGTGCGCTGCCTCCTGGTCGCAGAGCTAGCCCTCCCTCGGGGCTGTGGAGCCCTGCCTACAACTCCCGCTAGTCAGCGCCCACCCACAGAGGCCCTGCACTCCTGTGACTCCGTGTCCAGCCTGGAGCAAGCCCCCGATTGCCCCCAGCCCCAGCCCAATCTCTTTGTTCCTCTGTTCTAGATCTTTAGTTTGGACTGTGCTCATTAGCTGCTGCTTATATTTTAGAGTTTGTTTGACTTCAGTCTTGCAAAGGTGAAGACTTCCTGACTCTTTCCTTTATTTTTGGTCTCTGGACAGTGCTTCTATTTTCCTGGAGTCTCGAAAATCACTCCCTTTTCAAGACTGAGCAGGCAGAGCTCTGTGTAGTGTCTGTAGATGTCTCAGGGAAAGGACTTTTAAATTACTTTTTTACTTTTGTGGCTTTTTCCCCCCTGTGGAAACTACTTTTCCCCAATCTGGCTCCTGCTGGAAAATGAGGGGAATGAATGACGGTCCCCTGCCTGCCCATCTGTAACTGCACAAGACGCTCAGGGCCTGGCCGCTCCACCTCGCAGGAACGCAGAGGTGCTGCAGGGAGCGCCAGCAGGCTGCCTTTGCCCCTCTGGGCCACTGTGAATAGATTGCTGGCCTTTGTGCTTCTTTGTCTCCTAGCCTGTGGAGACATCTGGACCCAGCCTCACCGTGGGAACGTCCCAGCTCTGTATGCGTGGATGTTGGAATCGTCATTAGGAAAACATCCAGAGGCAGGAATCTTTCTGTTTCTTTGCAGAAGCCTCCATGTTCCACCCAAGCACAAAGGCCCAGTGTCATATGTCCCTCCTTTTGTACGACAGTCATACCTCAGCAAATCTGAGCCGCTGTCCTGCCGCAGTGGGAACTGCCTCCCTTAAGCAGCCCCCCCCTCACCCGCAGCTCCCTGCGGATTATAGCCCAGCAGGACCCCTGAGAGGCTGGGAAAAGTCCTCCCTCCCCAGCTCCTCACCCCCTCAGCAACAGACCTCCAGTGCGCAGCCCTCTGCCCTGTGCCGGGGAGACCCAGAGACAGCCCAGGACCAGTCTTGTGTAGACACTGTGTGGGATCTGGTTTGACTGAGCTGCAGTGTGAATCCACTTCTGCCCTTTGGGGCTGGTCTGTGATTTATTTTTGTAAAGTTGGAGACAGGAAGAGTTGTGCCTTGCATATTACTTGAGCTTAGACTGACAGCTTGGATGTAAACAGGTGTATTTCTACTTGGTTTATTTAATAAAGCTCAATATAATTTCTTAAGAGGAGCGTGATCATTGCTGGAATTGCATGAGTCCTCCCTGGAAATGGCCCAGGCCCTTGTGACTTTGCTTCTGGTTATGTGGATTTGGGGGAAAGGTCTGTTTTGCTGCCCTTGAGCTTTCTGTACTACACCTCCCTCCTCTGGCTGGCCACCAAGGCCTCCCTCCCACCTCTGAGGGACGAGCCAGTGGCCAGGACACATGGCCATGGTGTTTTCCCAAGCTTCTAGCCCAGGCCCCCATAGATGCCTTCTCTGCAGGAGCACACGGCAGCCCTGCCCACGCATCCACATGCCACTGAGCTCAGCCTCCTCTCCAGCACCTTTCCCTCTACCAGCCCTTCCTTTCTCCCTGCCACTCTGGCTTCCACCCCCACTCTCCTGTAAGGCTGATCTTCGCAGGGACCAGCAGCTCTGTTCAGCCAGTCCTCTCACTGATCTCTACAGCCTGGACACTTCCCAGTTAACTCTCCCTGCCTTGTGGGCAACTCATCTGCTCTTCCACCTTGCTCCCCACACCCTCACCCTCTCTGCCTGCTGGATTGCTCCACCCTGAGGGGGGTGAGCCCCTCAGGGCCCGTCTTCTTGGGCCCTTCCCCACCCACCTCCCCACCCCCACT